TCCTGGTCGGCCGATTCGCCCACGGGCTCACCCTTCAAACTTGTGAGTAGGCAACTTAAAACAGTCGAAGGGCACCTTTTACCTGCAGCCCCAGAGACACGCTCCCCCAGACTCCAGCGATCGCTCCAGCCTCATCAAACGGGCACAAAAGAGCAAACGCTGCTTGCAAAACAAAGCGCATACCCCACTGGTCACTGGAGTGCTACAAGCTGGAATCAATGCGATGATTGTGACAGCTGAGAACAAATTCAGCTATGTTTGACAACTTCCAGAAAATATTGGCAGAGGACAGGGAGTCTGCACTGCCCAGCAGCACCTTTGTGAATTGATTAGCCATATAGCAGATGGCAAGCCTGCTGCAGACTGAGACAGCAGAAGATGGCCAGTCTGGTTGAGAAGAACTTGAAGACGACTGGGAAGAAAAAACATGTCCTTACAGTGACAGTCCAAAATGATATTTTGGCAATGTCAGCTGCATGGCAGATGAGGAACGGGACTGATTTTTAACATTTTCTTCAACTATTTATTACGAGCACCTGTCCAGCTCCTAAAACAAAATTATATAGCTCAGTTTAAACCTCTCGCTTTCACCTCTCTCCTTCACAGAAATCCTTAAAGAAAATATCAAAAACCATTTCTTCTTTTTAAATATTCTTTTAAACAGAAGTCATTCAGGAATCAACTGATACATTTGAGAGAACTTACATGCCTTCTCTGAAAGCGGGTATGCCTTGAAAGTTTGATTTTAGGAAAACATATTCTGGACAAAGAGCAAAGGCTTTGCTTCCCTCTTCCTGCCACACATTTTTGGGAGGGGTTTGGCACATGTTTGGGGAAAATTCATATTTTTAATGGTTTTAGGAAATGCCTTAGGCTATTCAGAGTCTGCACAGCTGCTCATCAGTAGCCAGCCATGGCTGAAGGAGCAGAAACTATGGATCGGAGAAATATGCCATCTTTGTCTGGTGCAGAACAATGCCGCTGCAGTGAAATACAATGGCCGTCTCTTATTTTCCACTAGCCCTTAGAAAAAAAAAAAAAAAAAAAAAAAAAAGAGGAGGAGGGAAAAGAAAAAAAAAAAAAAAGGGAAGGATCATGGAGTTTCCTTGCAGGGCCTCTGAGCAGAGGGAGCGAACATTAGCTCTGCGCTCACAGATATGCAAATCCTTCCCCCGGCCCAACAATAGCAGAAGCCCTGTGGGAGGAGACCGATAGCGGCTGCTGCTCCCAAGTCCTACGCCTGCAAAGCCCACAGGTTCCCCGGACTTGCCAAAAACTGGAAGGTCAAAGAATCATCCAAGAAGAGCTGCAAGAGCTCTGGTATCGGAGCTGACCGCTCATCGCCTGCGGAGCACACCACTATTAGGTGTTTTAAAGCTTACAGTTTGCCTGCCATTCGGTTTACAGATGCAACTGCCCGCAAGATAGATGAATCCATGGTTCAATGTCTCTGTGTTGCCCCTTACGTTAATAAGGCTCACGTATAAAAAGTTGGAACTAAAAGAAGAAAGGAGCTTCTGCAGTAAGACCCCAATTAACAATGCTTGCATCTACCATACTCCGAGCAAACTTTCTAAATGGGTGGGTTGGGTTTTTGTTTTTAACATAGACTACAATTACCACGATTTGATCAAGTCTCTGACTTGCAGCTATCGCTGGTATCTAAATTTTTGAAGCTAAGACTGAGGGAGTGCAACTTACGGATTGGAAACTACCAGCACTGAGCTACTGCAACACAAATAGCTCAAACTATTAAGATTTGATGGTTTTACCAGTGCTGACAGCAATCTATAAAAGCTGGAAAACCAAAACCATTCAGTGACATGGATTTATCCCCCTTTAGGAAATATATTTTTGCACTGTAGTTCATGTTATCCTAAATCTTTGATATTAACCACCAAACCTATTACCTAAAGCTGCATGCAGACTGAGGTGGCACATTCACCTTACATTTGGAAGGAGGTTTTCGATTGCTTCCAAAACTCCCATCAAACTTTGATCGCAGCAACTGTCAATCCTTAAAATGTCACTTCCTTCACGTTATTTTCCTCAGAACAGCTGACTCAAGCCAGTGATTTGAATGGATGCCTGAAACATCATCCCTCTTTGTAAGAAGCCAACTTCAGGTCTTCCCAAGGCACAGTCTGACTTGAAGCCACAGAGGGGTTACGAACAGGTTATTTATACAGCACGTGCAGCAGAACCTGTAGCCAGCGTGCTCTCCCATTGAGCAGAGGAGTCAGGAAACATTGACGGGCTGGCAGCTCTTGGGTGCCCAGGGAAGAGTTTGGAGGCAGCAGGACCGAGAGCCCCCCGACATTAAGGATTCAGAGGTAGCTGAAATGCGCGATGCAGAGCAACTGGAGTCCTAAACGTCCTAAGCAGTTTTGTATGCAACACGATATTCAATGGGAAGCTTAATACTAGAAATACAATCAATCACACCCCCCCCAAGCACTTATTTTGCTGCACTAAATGGCAAAGGTCCTCAACCGAAGAAGCGTGTGTTATTCCAATAAGCAGTACACTTTGACATTTGACATCGATACGAAACAAGAGACTGAAGCTGACAGAAGATACTTGGGACTAGTTTAGGGGTTTGTCTGCTACTTCAGTGACGGTTTTTTAAACACTCGCACTCAAACCAGTTCTTCTTTACAGTCCAGGTTTGCAAAATAAGTCTGTAAGACTTCTTTTGCAAGTTCTTAAAAACATATGTCTTTAATAGCCTGAGCAGATTTGCTGCTGTTTTCTTGTTTCCCTTGGCAGGACTGCACAGAGAAAAGGCTGTTGGCATGCAGACCGCTGCTGTACTTTGACACAGATACTTTCTTCTCAAAAGCAAAAACAACAGCAAAAAAAAAGCCACTTGTACTCCTTGATACCCCCATTCACATTTCTGCAACCATTAGGAGGTCCAGCAAAAACTGGTTGGTGGCAAAAGAAAGCTTCTCATTGAGACAGACAAAAAGGGTGCTCCAGATGTGAATCAAGTGCAGAATAGTATCTGATCTAAGCATCTTACTCACGTAAGCTTTTATTCATTTAGACACACTTTAAAACTCCGTAAGAATCTTGGCAATAATTAACATGTAAAAACTCTGTGTCAAATCAAAGAAAAACCTTCATATTTTCATGTAGTACATTTCTTGGACATTAGATGGCAATCCCCCCACTTCATTTTTCATACCAGGGGCCCATATCCCTTCCAAAAATCAAATGTCACCTTCTTTTCAACAGGTGAGCAGTCTGCTTGGCCTGAAGGAAGCAAGGTTGCTTGGAAAGCCCATTCAGAGTATGGAGGCTCTCTCATTACCAGTATTCGTTCTGTTGCAACAGTTCTCCAGTTTCAGTTTTTCTTTGATTAGGAAAGGCAGATGAGTAATACTGTTACGGAAGAACGCTTACAATATAGAGGCGAGAGTCACTTATTTGTCCCTTGGACACCCTACGCCATGACTTGGATGTTTCCATCCCAAAAACCTATAGGCAGGAATAGGCAGTTACCAGAATTGCCCCCCCATTTTGACAGAGGAAGGAGCAAAAGGGGGGTTAGTGTGGCATTTAACAATATAATTTCTAGTCTTGACAATTAAAAAGGGCCCTCCCAAGGGATATCATTAGTCTGCGTAAATCTTTGCTGGAATTATAAAACTGAATTTAAAAAAAAAAAAAAAAAGGCTATATGGTACCAGTATGTAGGATACACACAACGGGAAACACCTGCCAACTTTTACAGTGGGAATTCTATAGGTCAAAGAAGAAATAAGACACAAGGCATTTAAACAACTTAAATAACAGCTCAAACGAGTTCAACAGAGTATGTAACGCATGCGATCAAGTTAATGTACCTTGCCTTTCAGCTTCTCACTTCTACGTGTGATGTTTTAGAAAGAGGCAGGAATAACACACCTCGTCAACTGTTCAGTGATGTACATGGCGGGGGGAATCCCTCCTGACCTTCATTAACTCCGTATGATCTATTTAAGTGGCACTACAAGACATCCTGACATCTATTCATTTCAACAGTGCGTGCCTGTGATTCATTCACACAAAACTCACTTCCTAAGCCTTCATTTCTCATCTACTTTCATCGTTCATGAAACGTTCTTTTCAGGCCAAGTTCACCCCTTTTCATACGTCCCCCTCAGGACTGAATTTTGGTCTTGCAATACTTGTCCATTTGAGCTCTCATGCAAATTCACAGTGGACATAAGAGCAAGATTTGCAGCTCTCCAGCATTCCAAAAGCACAGATAGTATTAGTCCTAAGACGGGGGTCCACCCACAGCTAGCTACTCAAATAGCTAATTTTTCATGTACTCCACTGAAAATCTAACCTTTTATCCTCACTCTCGAGATGGTTGTATATGTACGTGTCAAGGTGACAACACTGTGAAAACAGAAGTTCTCAAATGGTACATTATCTCGAATATCAAAAGGTCACAAAAGGGTACAAATCGGGAGCTCTCCAGAAGAGAGACTGGTTTTTATGAAAAGTGGGTCACTTTTAGTTTCATGTAGGTTGTTTGACACAGTGGTTTCTGGCATCACAAGCTCTGGTCTACAGGATACCACAGAGCCTTTGTATCCCTTGCTGTCACCACAGCATTGTGTTTTTCTACCCATTAACCAAGGATAAATGACCTAGATATTGTGCCTATTAAAGCCTCATTTTTCTTTTGCCCTTTTGTTCTTTAGTGTACCACATTATCACATGCTGAACACATTTTAAAGTATTCTCAGTCTCTCATGCCCCTTTGAAGGAGTAAAGTAGGGTTTTTAGTGTGCATTTCTGTAGAGTTACTTAGAGTGAAAAATATGAAGGTAATTCAAGGTTTCTCTTCCTGCCTAGTCTCTTGAAGACAATCACTTCAGCATTTACAGCCACTAATCTATAAAGAATATAGCAGAAAAATGCTATAAAAAAGCCACAATGCAAATACAGAAAGTGAACACCAGTTGTGATGTCCCTAAACACTACATTCTATAATTACATCTCTGCATATCATGGGTCACTTTTATTAAAAGCATCATTACTACAGTTGGCAGCAATTTACATCTTATCTTACATGATAGCAGTTTCCAAAGAAAAAAAATAAAAAGACATCACAACAAAGAAAAACAATACATTTACAAAGTCATGTCTGTAAACTTCAAGGCTAGTTTAGAGTTGAGGTAATGCTGTTTAGCTTTGTGGCTAAAGTAACAAAGTCCTTTAATTTAAAAAAGGTACCTGATTTTTTTCTTTTTGTTTATACCAGTGCATTACAAGATCACGAGACGATTAAACTGTAGCTTTATCCTGTAAGAACCTTCTCCGCGGGTTAATTTCCAAAAGGTACTCTTCACATTCAACAGCTGCCTTATTATTGCTGTGTCTCAAGACAGAGACATTCACACTATCATGAAGATTGTCAGAGAGAGAGTGTGTGTGTGGGTGTGTGCGCGCATGTGAGCGGGTGAACTCCCATACAGTCAAAATGAAGCGCGAGTACGATATGTATGGTAAATTTCATCTTGACCTTCACAGCAAAAAAAAATAAAAATAAAAAAATTAAATATATAACTTCATCCTTCCTTTAAGCAGCACTTCCTTCTATTAGTGCCACTTGATTACAAATTGCTGCTTAATTCATAATACCAATGGTACCAAAAGAAAAAAAAAAGCAGAGCATTATGTCAATTTCCTTAAAAAGACATGATCACCTCTCAAATTTCATCTCTCCTAGGGATAATAAATAATGCACTGCACAATACTTAATGACCAAGATACCTTTTGACACATCTGTATAACATGACTTGAACTTTTTTTTTTTTTTTGCTACACTATGTTACAGAACAGCTTATAAAAACTAAGTATGGACATTAACTGTGAGTGTAAACAGTAGGACTACCACTTGTCAAAAGTTTAAAACACTTTAACTGTAACTGGTACTGGTTATTCATCATTTTCATTGTTTTCTATTTCTTCCCCCCCATCAAGTGAGTCTAATTCTTCACCCTGTGCTATTTCATCTTCTAAAACGGAGGAATCTGCAGTTTTATCAAGGCTTTCCTCTGCATCACTGCCTTCGAGATTTTCTTCATCTTTAAAGGCAGTTCCTTCAGTTTTGTCAGTAGCCTTCTCTTCATTGGAGCCCACTGTGTTCTGAAGTCCTGCTAGTGCTGGGAAACCAGGCAGAGTCAATCCTCCCAGTCCTGGAGGTAGAAACATAGATGGATAGAAGAGGCCAGGAGCCATGGTAGACAGCAGGAAAGGATTGAAGGCCAGAGGGTTTGTGGGCAATCCAGTGTTGGTGGTGGTGGTAGTGGTGGCAGTGGCGGTAGTCGCCGCAGTAGCAGCACTGACAGATCCATTCGCAGAGTCAGTAGCAGAAACAGTGTCTGTGCTTTTCTCAGAGTCTTTGTTCTCCTCTTCATTCTCATTTTTCTTCTCTTCAGCTTTTGAAGCGCCATCCTCAGTCTCTCCTTGACCGGAAGCAGTAGTGGCATTTCCAGTAGTAGCCGTTATCGGGTTATTCAACAATCCGCTTAGTCCAAACATATTGGGCAATCCTGCCATCCCTGGCAACATCAGAGGCAACATGGCAGCCGGGTTTTTAGCATCCCCCCCGGCAGCAGCAGCTGTTGCTAGCCCTGGCGGAAAGCCCATGAGGCCCGCGAGCTGCAGAGACTGCAGGTTCTGTAGGTTCTGGAGGCTTGTGAGGTCCATTCCAGCAAACAGACTGTTCATTAGTAGTGGGTTGATTCCCGAAGTTGATGCTACAGCAGCAGCTGCTGCAGCTGCTTTGGCAATTTCACTTTTTGGCCTTCTTCCTCTTCTGCTTGCTCCTTCCTCCCTCACAACAGGTCCAGTGAGAAGACGGTCAAACATGGACTCTGGAACAAAACCCTGAAAAGGGGATGCGAAAAAACAAGCTTTATTCTCGATTAGCTTTTACAGCTTTCAGCAGTTAACTGATGACGACGGAAGAAACAGAAGGGATTTCACCATACTCCAAAAGTGGTTTGTTTTTCAACCCTGGCAAATCATGATTAGCTAGCTACTAAAGTGAATGGCAGTAGAACATGTAAGAAAAACTGAAGAAAGCAGCGTCACAGATTTTTTTACATTCAAACACAACAGTAAAACAACACATGCTGAAACTCTATAGCTTCATTAAAAAACCCCACCCTGATATACTGCAGTTATGAGTTTATACCTTGGTACTTCATACTGAACTTCAGTAAAGTAATATTTTATTAAAATTAGTATTTGCAGAATTGTACCCTTTATTTTCAAACAACTGTTATAAAATAAAAGGCAGAAAACCTAATCCTTTGATGCTGCCTGTTACCAAGATGATAAATCCTATTTCTGTTATGAATATGACAAATATTTTCATAATCGTTCCTAATGTATGAATACTTGTGTTTATTAAGGATCGTTGCTTATAAGAAAAAAATAATGCAAAATAAATGCTGAAGGCTGCCTTACTGTAGCTGATTTTTCAAGTGTACTTCAATCCCATGCAGCAGCCTCCTATCACCATCCCCTCTGAGCTGGGTAACTAACTCCCCCCCAGACACTACAATCTCCTCAGCTCAAAACCAGCTATGAGATAAAGACTTAATAATCAATTTACACAGCCTTCAACTTTTCTGTGCTATAATCTACAGCGAAGCATGGAATGGGAGTTTCACTTACAGACTGTTTAACAATGTCAGTCCAATCTGGAGCAACAGCGAATTCAGGATTTTCTTCCAGCCATCTTGGCAAGTCCTTCATTGGAGGGGCCATAGCTCCACCCATCTAACACAAAAGGCAAGGTTAATACTTTAAAAAAAAACCAAAACGCCAACCCCCAAACCAAGCAACTATTTATACGGACATTTTCTATCTGTGCACTGTCATCTCTGAAGGATGGCAGTAAAGACTTTCAGTTCAGACTGTGGAAAACTACATGGAAACCAGCTGATGATACTAGAATTGAGAAGATCATGTTTTTAAAAAATACAGTAAAAATGCTGCAGCTTAGGCAGGGCTAGTAATGAAATTTGTATCTGATATAAGGACAAAATGTGCATATAGTTTCAAAAAGTAAGCGTTATTTACTCAAGTGATTAATATGAACATATCAGAAGAGCAAAGAAGAAATTAAAGGAACTGGGTGGTACATTCGAGTAAGAGTAACTGCCAGTGCCAAATTATTAAACTTTTTAAAAAAAAAAAAAAAGCCTAGAGTATAAAACCTGCTTTCCACATGCAAAGACGTTATTAAAGACCTCCACTGAACTAACAATTTTTACCTTCTTTCCATTTCGTTTATTTACAACAGGTACCCTTTCTTCTCCTGTCAAGGTGTTTATATCCAGTTTATTAGGGTTTCGACATCTGTGTCGTTTTTGTTTCGGCTTCTGAAATGGGGAAAACAGCACATCTGCACTCTTCTGGAAAGAAGAGAAATGTATTGCTTTTTAGTTTTTGCATTTTCTTGACAAAAATCACCAATCATGGAACCCCTTCGCACAACAATTTTGAGAAGGGGTCAATTACTTTACCCTCAGATTATCTCAGAAAAATCTTTTTTCTTATCAGATGAAGAAATTCTGCAGAACTTGACACCAACGTTGTTTTAACACATTTATACAAATATTAAGAAAGGAAAAGCAACCCATACACGCTGGTGCCACACACTTGGGTGTTAATATATAGCCACACCATATTCAGTGTAGCTAAAGAGAAAACCTCTACTGAAAACTAACAGTTACAAAACCCAATGACTACACACAATGTGAGGAAATTCATTTTGACATCTGTAAAACTAACTTCTGTGTTAATATAATACAACAACGCTTTTACAATCACATACTTACTGGTACATAACTTGGCATATCTACAGTGTAAGTAGGATGCAATTTAAGCCATTCAACTAAATCCTTGTTTTTAGGAGCATCCTCTCCCACCAGCCTGGTCCCATCCTCTAGACTGATTACAGGGATGCGAGTGTCTGGGTCCAGTTGACCAGGAGATGGAATGTTCCTTGCTGGTAGGGCTTCCATATCTTCTTCAAAAGCTTTGGTCACTTCTGCATCCTCCTGGAAACATTAACATCTGCATTAATTCTCACTTCAAGGGAACAGTTACCTGGGAGAAATAATTTCAGGGACTGAAGCTAAATGCTCAAGGAGATTTTGCATACGCAAGAGTTAACGGGGTTTAAATATTCATACTATGTAAAGCAATACTGTTACATTAGGGAATTTTGTAAATTTAGCATCCTTGAACATTAAAGAACATATAGCTAAAGACGGAGCAGTTTTTGGGTGTTTCCAGTTAATGGCCCCCAAGACCTTCCCTTTTCTACACAGCAAGAAAGACATACTTAAGCCTCAAAATGTACGTTGTTATAAATATATTGCATTTTGTAAAAAAGTCTTTTTGCCTTTTTGAAAGTACAAGCTACTTAAAACTCAGCCACAATCTGCTAGAGTAAAAACTTGATATGAACGATATGAACACCATTTTGTTTGGTTCAAAAAGAAGTAACAGCTCTAAACACAAAGGAAAAGCTGGTCGGGTAAAAACTGTACATTACTGTTAGGGAGAGTGTAACAACACTTTAAACTCACATTCAGAAAGTACTAGACACAGAAGAACAAATATGAGACAAAAAGGTTGCTGTCTTACTACAGTCAACGATGTCCGTTTGTTGCTCATAAATAACAGATCAAGCCCTTCTACATTTTTCCTCCTTCCTCTCCTCCTCTTCATGGGCGGTTCTCCATCTATTAAAGAGCCATTTAGTAGATGCCTTGTGGGTGTGCGTGAAAGACCTGCTTGCAGCAGCTCCATTTGAGTTTTAAAGGCATCAGACACGGGTGTGGAGACATTAGGCAAGATAAACTTTGAAGTAACAGATGAAAAATTTGAGGTAGAACTTGTTGCCTCTCGTGAGGCCTTTGATAAATCTACAACCTTTTCTTGTCCATTTTCTGAGACCACCTGAGACTCACGTAACTGGGCAACCATTTCCATAAGATTTCTCCTCTTGGCAGCTCTCTCAGCCTCAATTTCAATCTTTCTTCGTCTCCTCCTCCTCTGACGTGGAACCGATAAATTGAGTGCATCCTCCTAATGAAAAATGAGCATTTCCAAACATTAGCAAAACTCCGTTTGCTATGCTGAATTTAAAACATAAGTCCAAACATATAACTGGGAAAACAAAGCCTTCGTTTTATTCAAAGAAACACTTTTTTATTTTTCCTATTTGATTTAAAGAAATTCAATTTTTGTGGGTTTTTTTTTTTCTATTTTGCAAAAGAAGCACACACAAGATAAAATGTTTTATGTAAGGAAGAGAAAGATGCAGCCTTGCCTTTGATAACTGAGGAGAAGCAGTGATATCTTCACTGCCACTGACGCTGGCTTGACCAACCATGGAGAGCTCTGCAAAGCTCCTTTTTTGTAGAGGGCTGTCCACCGCTGTTGGAGTATACCCAGGTATGAGCCCCTGGAAATCAAACATCTGGCGCCTATTTACTGGCCACTTCCCTTTCAGCACTGCTTCACAGATGTTGTCTAATCGGTTGATCATTACTCGGTCCTGCATAAAGGAAAAGTACGTAAATGAACCTTCAGTGTGAAAGTCGCCTTTTAATCTCAAATGAGGGTAACGACACAGTCTAGCTTCCAAAGCTTAAGAAATACGTTCAAAAACAACTATTCTTGCAGGTCAGGATAAACTGATTGCCTTACAAGAAGCTAATACACAGACAGTTTTGTAGAATAAAACATCGCTAGAATTTAAAAGCTGCATTTATACTGGGGGGAAGGAGGAAGACAAACCAAGTTTTCTGTATGACAACGTACTAACTGACGATTTTAACAGAAACTCACTGTTGTTTTACACTGCAAAACTTCAATAGTTAGCAAAATCAACAGTTAGGAAGGGCAAATCAGAACATCTGCAATCAGTATCTTAAAGCTGCAGTTCTCGAGATCCAAGAGGCTGGATCTGCAATTCTGTCCTAGGAAGTGGATCCTCATTAGCGTCACTATTAATAAAGTTCAACATTATGAAATGGGCACCAACCTAGGGACATCTAATGAATGTCAATTTTCATTCCACGCCCATTATCACTTCAAATTTCACTGAAGCGTGTACACTAAAAATCTCCAATTATGTTTATTAGTCTACTTATACTGAACCTACACAGATGAAGGATGTTTTGTTTTACTTTTACTCCATGACTGGAATAAGATTTTAGTCCATGTTTCTAAAATACATGTTGAAAGCAAAGAAGATGAGCATAATTTGATTTTTTTTCATTTTCAGTATTCAAGCACATTTTATGCTAGCCTGCCTGAAGTAGTAGGAACTTCAGAACTATGAGAAATACTGCTGGTTAGGGAATAGGAGCATCAGTTAGCTTCCTGAACAGCAAAACAGTACAAAAGCCACTAGCAAATCTCAGCAGCTGCAACAGACTGCTTGCTTTCCCCAGGAATAAGCCTATTAAGAGCAAGGTCCCCCCTGCCCTGCCCCCCCATCCCAAACCAGATGGCCCTGTTATGGTGATTAGTAAGCTTCAGACTATTACTACTTTATTTCTCTCTCTACCCTTACTGCAAAGGAGAGTACTAAATTATGTATGGATTTATTACGAGGTTATGGTTTGTATTTTTAAAAACATTTTATATTAGATAATTTTCTGCCTTGTTACCAAAATAAGATATAGCTTCATCCTATCTAAAACTGCTGCTTATGTTTGCAGGATATCTTAATACAATTACATCTGTCAACATTACATAATGGCTTAGATCATGTAGGTCACCAGAACTCTTCTCTACAATCTCCTCACCCCAAAATGAAAAGGTGATCTTACAGAATCTCTGCTCTTAACACTGCAGATTGCTCTGCAGATGAAATCCATAATTCAAAATCCTAAGTTTGCTTCCATCAATAGAGGTGTGAGAGGTGTGATTCTGCTGACATACAGTTGTGGAGCCTGTAAGAACTCATGTCTGTCAGTAGCTTGTTGTTTTACTAAATGACACTATTTACAGTAAAGCAATTCCTTTCATTTCCTGTGCTAATTTGCATGAAATTGAAGAATAAAATCCTATTCCACAAATCATTCATAAAAAAAAAAAAAGTCCCTTGCCCACCAGAAGTGCAGAATTGTACAAAGCTCGCTGTTATTTTGCAAACACATTTCCCATATTTTATCTGTATTGAAAAAGACACATGCCATTCTACCCCTAACCAACCTTAGGCCAGAAAGAGAAGGCAAATGTTCTCTCATGAAGCAGCTGAACCACAGAGGGATCCCCATCTTCCATGTAGAATCCATCGCGTGTTTCATCCCTTGCGGTACTCATAGAGGCATTGCTTTCTTCATCAAAATTCTTACCCTGAGAAACTGCTCCTGCGGAATAATAACCATGACCAGGCATTAACTACAGAAGTTCCCAACCACCCAATGTCAACCCAACTAGATAGGTTAAGACAACCAGGCTTGATGAAACATTTCTAACTCAGGCTTTTGTTCAGTAATTACTACAGCAGAACCTTAGCCTTCTGCATTTGGCACAGAGACTGTACTCACTGGCTCAGCAGGCTATCTTGGAAACCACCCCTTGTGGGGGAATACCCTGCTGATGCTGGATGGTTTTTATGAAAGCTTATCTAGCCACCTGATACACGGAAGGGCAGAGGAACTGCTACATGTAGCCTATCCTGAGCTCCATAATGGCTCTGTGTGTGCCACTTACCAGCTGGCACAAGTTACAACAGCTGTGGGCCTCATGCTAAGCACACAGAATTGATCTGACCAATGCGTTACCTTCAGGTTGGGAGGATTCTTCCGATTTATCATCATCATCCAGTTTCTCCTCTTCATCTTCTTCTGAACCTTTCTCAGAAATAGATTTTGGGTCTACATCTGTACTCATTTCTATGTCTTTCAATTCACATTTAACAGAGCCAGGCTCAGCCTCAGCATCACAGTCTGGTTTAGTGTCCTTATCTGCAATATCTGTCTCCTCTTTGATATCAGACTTTTCTTTGGCTGCTGGATTTTCAGACCCTTCAACTTTAGACTCCGTTTGTTCTGTAGTCTTTTCTTCTTGTACTGGTGTGGATGGGACAATAGGTGGTGTTTGACTGCAGCCAGCACCCAGAGGGTTTACAGAAGAGACAGTATTTGCATTACCTGTCCCTCTGTTTTGAGCGAAGTTTTTGTGAGCCTCAAGAAAAGAGAGTTCAGGATCATTCAGAATGTGATAGTCTGTCCTACTGACTCCATGTTTAGCAGCACCAACCAGTAAGTCTTTGTCATGTTTACCACACTCCCACCACTCTGGCAGGTCCAAGCTTGGTTGGCAAAGTTTTAGCCTCTCTCCCAACTGTGGGTGATGGAGAACCTGTTCACGGATTTTCCGCAACAGTTCTATGCGATATAAAGTTCTAGAAGCACGCTCTTCTGTGATCGGCTCAATCATAGTGGAAAGATCAGGCGGTTCTGCAATGACATCAATTTGCATTGTTTAACATCGATTAAATGTACACCATTTCAAAATCATTACACCTGGGCACAAGGTTTCAATAGTCCTACTGTCTCATAACAGTCATGTTGATTCCTACAGTCAGTTAAAACTTACCATCATCCGGTTTGACTGGCATTCGGCACACTCGTCTACACATATTCACAAAGCCATTAAAATACTTTTCCAAGCTTTCGTCGGACTTTTTATCAAGCCTGGCAAATGCTCTGAACTGATTCCAGTCAAACTGATGTTTTACAGGATCAAAAATAATTCCAAAAGTAGACACCACGCGATAAAAATCAGCTTCTTCTCTTCTTGTCCATCTAGTCAAGGAAGAAGCAAGAGAAGTGAGGCCAGTGAATAAATCAGGGTCCAGACATAGTTTGGATGCCCCAAAACCCCCTTAGTTTATTCTTTCAAAACAGAAGGGCAGTACTGGTGACACACATGCCCAAATGAGATTTGCAGAAAGACATCTAAGAAACTCACTTTTGTCGTTTTTCAGTTATTATAGCTTCCCTTTCTGCTTCTAGTGCCCTCACTTCTTCCCGAGGCCGACGTCTCCTGCGGTCAGTCTTCATTAGTGCCTCTTGCCTCATTTGTTGCCTTTTATAGCTGCGCTGATAGGCGGTAATGAGGCGACGCAGACGAGTAGTCAGGGTTGAAGTGTTGGGCCAGTAGAGTTGGCCTAACTCAGCATTGCTTTCACTGTGCTTGTCTAGAGAATAGAGAAGTATTTGTGCACTGCAAAACCACTGCTAGACATCTCAAAGTTTCTATGGCTAGAACTGGATTCCTGTTTTATCTGATAAGAACATATGCCTCATTAATATTGGTGCATAGCAAATTAGAAACAGGGTAACTACATTGGTAGGAAATAAAAAGAATCAAACCATCCAATTCTAAGAACTCAGAAATGTTTGTGAAGCATTCAGTGATAACCATCAAGCAGTATTATTCAATGTTATGAATGCAAACATATTATGAATGCTGTAAGTATTTAAATTAATGCAATGCATCTTTAAATATATTACTAAGGAGATCATGCTACCTCTGAGAAAACACCTATGCTTATGATTTCTCACTTTATTATTCTCACTTAAAGTTGGTAATTTTCCTCCATACTGAGGAAACAACGTTATCTATAACTTCCAAGATTATCTCGTCAAAAACATCAATGGCTGCATTATGAAACATTTGGTCTTTATCATCACAACTTCTACTATGTAATTAGAAACCCAGAAAGCCATAATGTGGATTAATCAAAGATAGTAAATAATTGTTTTGAAAGATGTGAAGCATGAAGAGAATTGGCAGTAAAAAAAAAGTTTACTGCGGTGTTTTCCCAAAATGCAACCTATCCCCTCATGTAGTAATACAAACAGTCCACCTTTCACTAAATGGTCCGGTTTTGCTTTTTAAATTTCTTTGCTATAGTCTTACTTGGGTGTATTTCTAGGGACTCCTCTTTGTCTTCTGGAGGTGAGTTTGCAAATTCCTTGGGGAGAAGACAGAAGTTATTTTAGTGTTCAGTTTTGACCATATGTTATCATTTCAGGAGAAAATATGTCATTTCTCAAACACAGCAGCAAACAATCTTTGTAAGGTGTGTTCATCTGGTAGCTCTCAAACATAAGAACTGCACATTACGATAAACATGGAGAATCAGTTATAATGATATATATTTGTAATTACAGAAAGTTGAAGTTCTTACATCAATTTCATCCTTGAAAGGAGTTCTGGTTGGCTTATATTCTGGATCTTCATCCTCTCTGTCAAATTCACCACTGTAAAATATTTAAAAGAAATATTTTCAAGAAATATATTGTTTTTGAGCGGGGGCTGATTTTCTGGACAAAAGCAAAAAAGCTACAAAAGCCATCAATATGGTGTACCAAGTTACACATTTGTATTTCATACTCAACTGTGTAAACAATTCTATGTACTTTTTACATCATATGATCACTTCAGATCCTCAGGCGAGATATAAGCAAAATATGACATATGAACTCATGCCAACATATATAATGCTGGTAAAGTTTATTAATTTTTTCATGTCCTCCTTACCCATCACCGCCATCTGCTAACATGTCTGTCCCTCTCTGTTCAGCAGCTATGGCCTTCGCATCAGGCATGCCAACCCGTTCCAGAAAGCACAGTGCTGGATCAGCTCTCATAGAATTGTACTTCTCATAACCTGCATGCAGAGCGGGAGACAAATTTTTTTAAAAGCCATGACCAGCTGTGAATAGAACAGGTTTAGGCAGTAGAACTATAATTTTCTGGATTTTTTTTTTTTTTTTTAATTAAATAAAACAAAGGAGCTGTCGCCATGCTGGAAACAACCATTTCATTCATGTAACGAAATTTTTCATATTGGTAAATTCCATCAGCACAGAAACATTTTCACATCAATAACGTTAACAAATAGTAGATACTGAAGAAAACATTCAATTTAATGTCTTTATAAGGTAAAGTAAAAATCTTTCACAAGTGAAAAACTTTTAAGTTTCCGATATGATTTTCACAGTGGTTCTCCACATTCAACACTCCCCACCGGAAACATGCAGATGTGAATGGAAACACACATACAATGCACATTTTCTATAGCTCCAGTCCTACTGGAACCCTCAATGTAGGCTGCAAAAATGCTGTATACATGGGTTATACGTAAGGCCAACGAACCTGTCTTATTAGGTTTAGGATGATGCATGTCAGTAAGATGACACTGTTCCCTCTATGGTTTTCAAACTGCTGTTTGCTTTTTTACTGCCCAAGTTGACTAGATGGAAAATGGCAGATCCCAACAGTGCACTGCAGGAAAATGATTTTTAGACTAGACTTGCCTCAGCTGAGCCCACAAAACAGAGCTGCTGTACATAGGCAGAACAGCACAATTCAATTAGGATTTGTACTACAACACACTGCTCCTAACTGCTGTAGAGCCTCAAGCCAAACTGTAATCATGAAAGGTTTTATAAGCCATCATTCTCCCCTTTAGTCAGGCTGGGCTGCTGAGAATACCTCTGCGACCTCCAGAGAATTGGGATTATAATCAGGAATCGCTCACTGTATATATCATGCCAGCTCTGCATCCCCAGCCTTTCAAAGTTAACAAGGCTGCATCCCACTCAAGGGAGCCGGGAGTTCTCAACACTGACATTTGTGAAATATTGCTTGGAACAAAGCCCAGGAGGCACTTGTACAGATTAATAGCAGAGGTTAAGCCCACCGTCCACTTTGACACTGGTTGGCAGAGTTAGCAAGTGAAGCAGTGCTGGAAGCAAAGTTTATGGAGATCTATCTTACTATTTAGCTATTATTTAAACAAATATGGTTTTGTTTTATTTACAGCCAAGAAAGTAATGTTTTCTTCTCAAATGTTCTGCAAACATTTAAAAACAGCATCTGATATTTACAGCTCATATTAGGTTTTTAATGCAGGCAAGAAAAAAAGGGAGATACAAGCCAACAGTTCTTTGGAACAATACTTGTTAATATTATGACTGAACAGTCCTACACACAGAAAGCTTTACAACTGAGTTTTGTTCAGAGTGAGACATCACTTACCATGTTTGAATACTCCAATTAAAAGGGATTTATCCGCCTCCTTATCCCACCAGTCTGCAGGAACTTCGGCATGGAATGGCTCAGGTATCCATATATCTACTTCACTGTAAAGACAGCATTATTTACATTCTCAAAGGCATTACCAGACAAAGATGTTAAAAAAAAAAAAAAAAGTGGTTCACACTATTTTGTAAATATGAATTTTGAGGGGGAAAAAACCCCTGAAACCTAAGACAGAAATTGAAATACCTGGAAAAAATAATTAGGATGGTTAAAAAAACCCAAACCAAAGCAAAAAAAAACCCCCAAACTCCACCTCACAACAAAAAAACCCAACATAAGGCTATTTTGGGAGTGGAATGACAATGGTTATCCAAATATGATTCATTTAAGGTCTCAGTATATTTTTTAAAATTTTTAAAATTGAGATAGAATAATCCTTCAATATTAGCAGAACTGAAAATCTGCTTCTGTCATCTCCCACATTGTGCCCTCCCCCAGGAAAATTACACACAGCGCTTGATAAAATAATAAGGCTGCTTGAGAACAGACATTTAAAAGAAATTGTGACAACCTTTAAACACTGCATTATTATAGTACATGTACTTTATAAAAGCCAGCGTCATAAAGCAAAAAATAAACCTGCACTTGCACTAACCTTGAGTCAGCACCCTCTAAGATCTTGTCTGCTTGGTCCCCTATAACTTCTTGTCGTAGATAGTAGAGCATGCGGACACGCAGCAGGACCCTGGAGAGGAAGGCAGAGGGGGGAAAAAGTTCTTAACTTCAGGACTGTTTGCCAACAGTGGCTTTTGGCAGCTGCTGCTGTTCATCCATCATCCTGCCAAGGCTGATTAGCCATGCTGTATGGTAGGCTTGAAGCGTGACAGATGGTGGCACATAATCACCTCTGTGTGGTGCTTTCTGCTGGCTTCCAACAGGCCTGCCTGGCAACCGCTTACACTGCACAGAGAGGGACCCAGCTCAGCCCGGCCCCGGCGCATTTCATTTAGTTCTACCTAGTGCAGCTTGTGAAGTTTAGACACGTACTCTACCACTGCCTCTGAAGTATTGAAGCAAGTTTGTAAACAACTGAGCAGATGGCTTTCAGTAACTGTTCTGCTTCATTATCTCATAAAATTTCCTCAGCTGCTGCCTTAATACCATTTTTGGAAGCACATCAGAAGTTGTAGGAATAAACGAGATATAAAATCTGGTTTTACTACCTTACAATAAACCCTCAATATGGAATGTCAGGTTTTTCAGATTATACAACTTTCTGCTTCCGAGAACGGGGGGAAGAAAATAATCCCCCATTTCCCTTGGGAGATATTAACTATTTTTACTCTCTATAGTTCAAACTGCTATTTAATTTCACCTGTGCACAACCTAACTGCTACAAGGAAGTGAAAAATCTTTATTGCCCATGTTTATTTTTCCCCATCTCTGCAATACTACAGTCATTTTTGGAAGTGCTGTCAGGTGTTGTGGTCACACTTGAAGCTGGCAGGAGAGAGAATGGCAGACTGTGGCTTTTCAAGGAGAGTAGAAAAGAGGTCATCTCTGTAGAAAAAGCACCTACCTGAAAATAGTCCTGCTCTCCTATGTTTACCCAATTCAGGGCACCCCCTGCTGCCTTGTTCATGAAGTAAAATCAGTACCAGCTAAGATGGAGATTACTCAGTCTGCCCTCTCACTGTACCCAAATCCATCACGGCAACTGTTGAATTGCTGCTGCTCCTGGAACAGCAAGGGTGACCAGGGAGGCAGTAATCTGATCACCCACTTGCATGAAAAATTTAGACCACCACCAGTTTTGAGAGCTCCTCATTAGAGATCTGATGCAACCGGAGCAATACCCAGTCTTAACATGTGTTATTCAAGCAAACCTCGGAAGATCAGGGATTTGAATGAAGGTCATGTCTACAATTCAAAACATGTCAGACATGCTTCTTTTTGTATGCATGATAACTGGGACCAGTAAGGTGTCCCTGCTCCCTGTGTGGCTATGTAAATAAGCTGTTGAGGGTCTCTATCATCTTAGTATTAAGCAATAACAGCTGTTACATCAAGCCAGAGAAGAGGAGCAGGGAAAAAAAAAAAAACCAGCATCAACCAAAAACCAGAGGCTCTTTGCACCTTTCAGGAGTCCTATGCATTAAAACAGTACACGTTACATAAGGACAGGACACCAGTTCTCACAAAGCCAATTGCTACTGCTACCTTTTGAAGGAAATGACTCAGATTATTAATTGGCTTCCACCTCTGTTTGATTTTACCTGGGCTAAACAGGTTGCTTCTAAAATTCACTTAGTCCTGGTGGATCTGGGAAGTGAAGGAAAAGTGAAGGAAAACATTCTCACACATTTATCAGTCTTCCCATTCCTTGTAATTGGTCTACTGTATTATGACAGAAACAGTATTTTAAAAATGAATTTAAGTCTGATACGCAAACTGATATAACTAGTAATGAGGACATGTTACCTGGGAGATTAAAATAATCTTACAGGAAAGAATTTAATTACTTTAAGAGCAAGTGAAATGTAACAACAGATCTGAGTAACAGTTCAGAAAAAATCAGAAAGCTGTTTATTTGGATGTGCACTTGCTAACGTAATTCTTTAAGTATCTGTTTTCATCAGCTGAGAATTAAGCATGGTTAGCATCTGGAAATGAGCTAATAAACCCATTAAATGCCTTTCCTCCTTCACACCACACCCCCTATTGACAGGCCACAGGTACTTTGCAAATCAATAATTTCTTTCCAATAAACAGTATTAGTAAGACACAATATATATTAAAAACACAAAAGTAATGATGACCTTTCAGTAACACTGCATTACATCTGTATGGTGTATATACAATGAAGAGTATAAATTTTAAAACAAAACAAACCCCCACAAACCCAAAAAGCAAACCACCTCCCTCCCAACCACAAAACAAGATATTTTTGGGACAAGGCTTAGGTTCAGTGTGTATAATGGAGAATACAGTAAGCAAAACTGAGATGGAGAACCAGGACACTATCAAAGGAAGCAGACACAAAAATAACTAAGACATTACAAAACAAAAGCTAAAAGAATGTAAGAGAGGCACTTAAGAGACATTCATGCAACAATAAAACAACATAGCATCCAAATCAAAATACAATGATCTTTATCCCTAAAGGCTTTCAAGTTTAGTAACATGTTTAGAATTTCAAAAATCAAATCAGGGCACCGATTCAGGTAAGAGAGCTTGGTGAGAAACTTTATCTCAAACAAAGGAGAAAAGAAGAAATATTCTGTACAATGTGGAGAGCAAGACAGGAAGGGAGAGAAAGAATGAAGAGAAGACATACACCCACACAGGTGAACTACTGCATGAAAGTATGCAAATCAAGAACTGGATATCTAAGTTTAACATCTAAGGAACAGAACTTTAAGGACATCAGCCTGAGAGACCCCACAAGAAGGGTAAGAAACAAACAGCTTTTGTTTAAAGATAGCCAACTGTCAAGAGAAATAGACTTAGTGTAGGGATATAGTCTTTCCTTTATATGGTAAAAAGAATAACCTCATCTGATTCCATTCTTATTTAGTAAGTAGAAAACAATTTTCTTCAGAACTGTGTTTTAAGCGCTGATCAGTCGTAAAGAGCTTAGAGAAGTAGCCAGATATCTGTTAAGATGATTATCCCCAAATTAAAAAGTAATAATGGCCTTTACATCCTATTAAATGGCCCTCTGTTCTATTAAAAATATCCAAAAGAAGTTGTGGACTTTTCAAAAGCATGTAGTAAAAAAAAAAAAAATCTAAATGAAATATTTATTAATACTTACTTATTACAGTGATGTTTGAGATGTTTCCTATAGCTGTCTTCTTGAAATAATACATCTGGATTACAGGTTGTGAGCCAATCGGCATCTTGCAGCATTGGCTGTGAACTCTGGGCCTTTACTTTCTTGCCTTTCCTCCCTCTGGGAACTGGTGCAGACAGACCTACATAAAACCCCAATATTTCTTATACAATCTGAATAGAAAAGTTCTCACCTCAAACTCCATTACAAACATATATTTAAAGCTAAGTATCACTGCTATATTAATTCCTTTGTGAGCAACACAACCACCAAAAACTGAACAGCAACATTATTTACTACAGAAAATTGCAAATAACAAAATCAACCAAAACTTTCATGCAGATTTAGGTGTGAAGATTTCAAAAATTCAGAGCGCTAGCCAGAAAATGGTGTTATATAAATATTTCTTCTAAAAACTCTCATGAATCTGAATGGCCATAAGGAAACAAGCTTTCTGATTTATGGCAATTTGAAACATAAACTCCAGCAGTAGGTGCCACTTAAAAATTATGCTAGAATATTCGTTCAAAACTGGTTTAAGGGAAACAAAGTGTCTGAGGGAGACTTTCCCTTTAAGTATGGACCAAGTCAAAGCCCACCTTACTCATAAAATCTGACAAGGTCCTACGACATGTCAGAATGGCTATAGTTTAAACTAAATACATAGCATGACTGAAGCAATTCTTTCCTATTTACTAGCATCATTATTTGATTGTGGTAGACATACCGGAATGATTAACCAAAGCTCGAGTTTGCCCATCTGCAGTTGGAGTGATCAGATCCCAGATGAAACTTTTGATATTTTCATCCCCTTTGTAATGATTAAGACAATATACCAGGATAGTCCGGCAGATGGTTTCCACATCTTGTTCTGTTAGCTGACGTTTATAGCGCCCATGTGAGAGGATGTCAGTCCACCGACCCCAGCTATAAGAAAAATATGTTCAATACAACAGCCAGGGCACTGGTATTTTAATTTGTGACTTTCAGTTTAACTCCAGGTACCAAGCAAGTTGGGACCTCCTGTGTTAGAACTAATGCATTTTGCATTTGCAGGTTACGCCAGGGAATCCAACCTCCAGCACTAAAGAATGTTTACTTTACAGAACAGGCAATAAGTTCACTGCTCGTAAAGCTGCACTTGTACTACACTCAAAACAATAAAGTACATATGTTTAACTCTAATGGTCCCAGTAAGCTACGAATAGGAAATGCAACCAATTCCTACAATCATGGCATTTGGGAAATCATTCTTATTTTCATCCTGAAACCCATTATTAGCAATTGCTGTACGCAACTTCCTAAAACGAAGATGGTCATTCTGAAACCCACTGTGTCAGCAGTCAAATATAGCTACTTGCCAAATACAGCTCTTTGCAAAGATAAAACTAAAATTGGTAAATCCAATGGGGAAAAACATGGAGTATCAAATAGGTAGTACCGAAATACCAGAATTTACATTGAAAACATCTAGACTGGCTATTGATTTCACAACCACATTGTTCTTCACAAATACACTTTGTTGTTCTCCACAGCACTTAGAAAAGAGAGATTAAACCTTGATAACTCAGGAATTCTTTACATTATGAGGAACGAGAAACAAATATTCCGTCATCACAAAACTACGTATCTTACCACTAAACTCATAGCCATCTGAGAGACATTCAGATGATTCAAGCTAAATAACACATATGTAAGCCACTTACATATACAGCAACTTAAAATCTCACTGGCATGTATCCAGCGTAATGAGGTAAAGGTTATACAGTAAGGGATTATGTGAACATGTCCAAGAGAAGGATGAGTTATTTACTATATATCATTTCTATATTTTCAGTTCTTTAGTCACAATCAGTATGTTTAATCTGTATATCCTTACCCATAAACCAACAAGTTCTTCTCCACCCTGAAACATTCACTTCTTGCATAACCCTGTGATTTGTCCTGAGGCCTACGGGGCTTTGTGCTAGGCTTTTCTTCAGAATCACTTTCCAGGTCTGAAAATTCCATTAGTTCATCCTCTTTGACTGCACTGTAGAGTCTGGTTTGCTTTCTTACTCTTGGTGTATCAATAACTAAGTTATTCTAAAATGAAAGTGAAAACGTAGAAATTCAGAAGGGGGGAAACCTTCAATTTAATTGTACTAGGAACTATCATAAAGCTCTTACCCTTCCATTTAAAGCATCAATATCCAGCTCAGCTTTCTTCGCCCATTTCTGCCAAAAATTAGGGTCATCCAAGGAAATGTCTGTCCTGTTCCCAGATGCAACAAAACTAGCCTAGTAAACGTGAAAACACATGCATTGGTTTCTTAACTGCATGCTACAAAGAATATCTGTTTTCACTGGTAAATACAATACTTAGGACTTATAAAGTGGTAGTTTCAAGAAAGAAAAAGTTAAGCCTGTAAACTATCATGACTGGAAATACAGATATCCCCACATTTGTGAGGAAAATATCCGAGACAAGTACATTGAAAAGCTAAATTGACACAGAAGGCAATTTAATACTGCTTCCATCTATCCTGGTCATATTTGGACACTCTGAATGTCAATGCACACCTTTGCGAACGTTGAACCTTTTCCTTCAGATTCAATAGTAATTGTGTGTGTTCGCCTTAACAGAATCTGATCGATATCCTCTTCACAAAACTTAGACCCTTCATCTTCCTCATCCATCAGAGCACCATACGCCCCCTTTCGAAGAAGATCTTCTATTTCTTTCTTAGAAAGCTGTTGCACCTGTAACATGTAAGAGAGGGTTTTTGACATCAGCCAATGTGTACATCTGACAGCATAATCAGACTGATTGTCCTTTTATTTAGCATTTTAAGAACTGAAACTCTAAGATAACGTGGTGTCAGTCAATTAAACATTCATGCTAGAGTCACCTTTAAAAGAAGAATGCGAACAACAAAATTCTTAGGGTGAAGTTACACGAGTGGTTTAAATGATTTAATAATTCATTGTCACTGAATCCCTTTACTTTAGCTCTGATGACTGCTAAGCTCCTCCTGGGAGCAGATTTAACTTACTAACCTGACAAAAAGCTAAAGTAAAAAAAGTCCAAAGCGAAAAGACTACAGCAGAAAAAGCTGACTAGAACAACTCCAAGAAGTGCCAGGATCAACATAATATAAAGGGTGGAATGATGAGAATGGATGGGGATTGAGGGAACATGACTCCACCTGCCCCCTTTTGGCAATAAGTGAGCCATTAGATAGGCTGAGCCAGTTCACATAGCCTTGCCCTTAATTAACCCTACTTTAAAATACATGCCATACTCCATCTGAAAACCACCGTTCTCCAGCTAAAATGCAAACAAGCATGAAAAGTGTTACACATTCATAGCATTTGTTGATCATGCACCGTAATATATTAATTCTCACCCCATTTGTAGCGTTTTCTCTTCCGCTCATAGATTGTAGCACAGCCTTATCAAGGCCAAGCTTCAAGCTAGCTTTGTCAAACATTTCCCTTTCATAAGAATTCCTTGTTATCAACCTGTAAATTTTCACTGATTTGCTCTGTCCTATTCTGTGACATCGTGCTTGAGCCTGATGAAACAAAGACAGATACTCAGTTACAGGTGACAAAAGGAAGAAAAAGATTTAAAATAATCAATACAGAGAACTTACTTTAAAAGTTATTGCTTTCACTATAAATAATAATCCTTACGCTTTCAAGAGAGGGACAACCGATAATTTCTCTTGTAGGTGAAGAAAATTTCACAGCAAAAAGGCAAAGAAAAACTTTCAATAAAATAATCTCTTGTAGTATTACCTGAAGGTCATTTTGGGGGTTCCAGTCTGAATCAAAAATAATGCAGGTATCAGCAGCAGTAAGATTAATGCCCAAACCTCCTGCCCTTGTACACAGCAGGAAAACAAACCTATCAGAATCAGGTCTTGAAAACCTGTCAATAGCTGCCTGACGCAAGTTGCCTCTTACTCGGCCATCAATTCGTTCATATGGGTACCTGAAATAAAGATGCATTATAAGGAGAACTTTACTGCAATGGCATTGTTTCTTTGTAAGAATATGCAATTAGAAAAAAGGAAAATATGCTATTGTAGGGTCAGAAGAACTGCAACAAACTGAGTGGCTGTTCCTGTATCCACTAACTTCATCAGTAGAAGACATACTACTTTGTCTCCTGCTTTGCGTCTTTTGGTAAAGAACAGATTTTCACTCCAAGGAATGAAATAAATGTTCAGGCTTAAGTTAAAACACCCTAGTGCTACCAAAACAATTAACTGAGTAGTAAACTAAGGGGTTTAAAGCTCTCCATGTAAGGTCATTTTGTATTCACCCAAAAGAAAAATCTCAGTACTTGCAACTTACAGGTATGCTTTTCCCCTTAGCCAGATCACTACAGAAAATACTGTAAAGTGTTTGAATTTCATCCCTTTTCAATATGGATTACTCACAGGTTAAATACTGTGGCCACTGAGGAAAGCACAGTTTATTTAGAATTGTATTATATTGTTGCTCTCACCGTCTTTGAATGAGGTAGTCTTCCAGTATGTCCAAGCAGCGCACCATCTGGGAAAAGATAAGCACCCTGTGGCCACCAGCCTTCAGTTTTGGCAGCAGCTTGTCAATCAGTACTAGCTTGCCAGCAGCCTGGATCATTGCCTGGAGCTGAAAATCTGGAGAGTCGGCATTGTGTGTTTCTTTAAACTCTTCCAAAATTTTCTCTTCAGCACCTGCAAAGATTGGACAGCAATACATGAACACTGCAAAGGGTTTTATTAATAAACAATGAGCTCGCCTTCAATACCCTATAGAAACTGCAGGAATGTTTTAAGCATTATGTGAATAAACATTTATAAAAAATATTAAGCTTAAATTTAAAGCAAACATATACACAAATACAGCATAAATAAAAACGTAACTCTGAGCATTCATTCTTCCCCCCGTCTTTTAAACAGGAGTAAACCCTTCCCTAAATAAATTCATACAACTATTTGACGTACAATTTAATGAAAAATTAAGAAAAAAGATTAAGTAGTAAACCATATTCTAACTGATCAAATGGATTTTCTGTCCTTTTTTAATTGCAACGTGAAAGAAAAAATACCTCTTTTCTACAGGAAAATACAAGAATTCAAATCACATTTGATGTCTGTGCCACCAAAACCAGGCTTAAACATGCACATGACCTGGACCTGCTCCTTCCATTATTAATTGCAGAATCAAAATCCAAACAATGGAAAAACTAATTTCGGGGGGGGGAGGGAGCAGGGAGATAAGCAGCTGTGAAATTATTATTTTACCTTCTATTTAGCTTTCTTTTCTCACTGAATGTGGGGGGTTTTGTTCAGTTTGATGAAACTATCCAATGTATATATTCTTTCCAGAATTAGTCAAAAGTTCTTTCTTGCCACTCTCTTTGCCTATGAACGATATGCACAGTGGCAAATATTTCCTTGTACTGCTCATTACCCAAAGACTACAGACCAAGTTCAAGTTTTCTTTTCAACCTCTCCTGTGCTTTTATTCCATTTTTTTCATGTGACTTCTACCGGCAGTGAACTATTCCAAGTATTATCAGATTACTACTCTTGGCTGTGTAAAAGGTTAGGAAACTTCATTCTAAGCTTATTTCACATCCAAACAAACCCCTTTTTGGAGCTGTCTTTTTCAGGCCCCTCCCCCTTGTTTTTTTTTTTTAACCAAGTAGTTTATAAACTATTTCTGGTTTCTATAATATTCAGCTTCAGTACTGCTTTTCAATAACAGAAGAAAAGGTGGGAGGGTTGGGGGAGGGGGGAAGAACAGCTTACTGCCAGGCTTCTGCTGAGCATCTCTCTCATATCCCAGTTCTAAGTAGATGCCTGTAAACAAACATGCAAATGCACCCTCCCTGTGTGATCGCTGGTTTGGTGCCTATTGTAATGTGGCGTCTTAACTAGATACCACCCTAAGCAGGCTGACAGCTTTGTATTACTCAATACACTTGCACAACTAGCTTTTACAGAACTTAATGGACGCAAGATGTGACCACACTTGAAGGTAGTTTGACATCCCTAGTTTTCCTTATCTGGATTCCCTACTCCAAGCATTACTAATCCTAACGGTTTGCACACATAAGAAAAATAAACCCAAGTGAAAATAGTACATTCAGACACTCCTTCAAGTTCCCTTCAATCGTATCACTTCCCGTCTTGTAAAACAGGCAGAATTTTGGATAGTAAATCATAGATGTCAGATTCTGTACTGAGCTTAGGCAATTTCAGGATACAGTAGGCTGTCAAGTAGTTCAGATACAGTAACTTCAGTGATCTTTCTTGATTACATAATTTCTTATTCAACTGTGCTATCCAAATTTAAGTTTTACTACTATGAAGTAAACCAATATGCAAACATAGCATCTGCAAAAGCAAACCACCTAAGCCAAGCACTCCAGAACAAACCCACAAACAGTTCTAATGAATGGTGAATTTTCAGCATCAGGTTGGTCTCAGCAAGACCCACTTCTGTAAGAGACCATGACCTCCAAAAATCTGTTCTCTCAATAACCCTATCCTAGGTAAACCCTGTAAAAGACCATCCTTTTTAATTTCTGCTTCAATTCCAATTAAGCAATGTACACTTAACAGTAGCCTGTTACCCAAAAGTTACTTAATGTAACAGGTCTCTAACACTAGTTCCTATCCTAGCTGATTTTTAGCAGGGGATGAAAGGAAGGTATCTGAATGTGTACTTGGTCCATCAGGGAAACCCCCACTTCCACTCTGAATTAGGAGAGTTTCCAGGGCTCAAGAGGGCATAAGGAACAGACTAAGAAACCTTTCCAATGTTCAGCACTGTAGGATGTGTAAGTATAGAGGCACTCCCCACCACTGGCTCTTGGAGGCAGAGAAAGAGGAATGATGTACCAATACTTGAGAATGGTTGCTATGGAGAAAACAAGAAGTCCAGCTCTAAGAAAAATGACAGACAATGCTTTGCCCAAGTTGGTTGGAGAATACACAAAATGCAGTAACTCCCTCTACAAGACTACTCAAAGACAGTCTCAGCAGACCACCATTCTCCCCTCCACAGAACAGATCTACCAATCAAGAAACAAACAAAAAACCCGCTCCACATTCAACTCCTACCATACTACTTCCATCACAGAATCTTCTATGGCTCTTAACTGAAGATTATCTAGAAGACTTGCTTGCAACTTTTATGCAAAACAAAACATACAGTGTTCTACTTGGATATTCAAATACACATGCACTACTGTTTGCTCACAAAACCTGTAAACTTGGAAGAAAATGAGAAGGATTCAGACACACCTTTATAAAAGCAGTTAAGTCTTGAGAACTTGCTACTGCAATGAATCAGGAGAACACTATGCAACATTATGTACTAGCACTGCAAGACCTCTTGGTAGAACTAAATAAAACTTGAGCCAATGCTCTAAGTATGAAGATGTTAATTATCGATCAACAAAATAAAACCTCAGGCTCAGACAACTGCAGGATGTAAGAGTACTTTCTGTCCCAGAACTACAAAGGATGCATTTGTTTAACTCCATCTCCACACTAATAACAGTCAGGATTTATTTATTCTTCCCTCAAATCTGAAGGCTTGACCCACCTGCCATGTTGCTGCATGACACCAAGCAAGTCCAAATGTTCGTAAGTCACAAAAATGTTATAAAGGCAAAAGTGTTCAAGAGACAAACCCACCTCCCTTTATTAGGGTTAAGATACAGTCATCGAAAAATAATTGAAATTTTCTATATAGCCACCTAGACCTCAGGAGTCTCTAACAGACACTAAATGATACAAGACTTGGCGGGGGCAGGGAGGGAGGAAATCACTGCTGCAGGCAACACTGCAAGCACTACTCATTAACTCTATTTGACAAAATAAAGTAGCAGCAAAATATTCAATTTATTTCTTTTAGAAAACATGAAATAAGGAACAATAATAGCAAGGTTAAAACTAGCTGAAAACGAAGAAATGTAAATATCATCAAGTTCAGAAGCTCATAACCTGAACATCCTAAACTATTTTCTGGTCAACTCATTTATATAATGGGTTAACCTAAAACAAAGAACCAACAAACAAGAAAACCCTACACCAGAACCACAAAGCTACTTTACTGTATGCTCATCTGAGTTTAGAAACTGAGCAGCCCACCAGCACAGCTGGATTGAAGTACTTTTGGAGTAACCCTATATCATGTCTTTGGAATAATTACTTGCACATGAAATATAATTAGATGTCATTTTGTGAATCAGTTTAAGCATTTTTCCCCCCCCACTGAAACAAAAAATGTCAAGAAAAAAAACGTAAGCACTGCAATATGGAAGTCATACAATAAAAAAACCTGAAATCGCATATGGCTCTTGAACAAAACAGTCTTTCATCATGAAGCTTATAACCAGCATTAAACCAACCATAGCATAAATCATACACAGCAAGAAAGAGGAGCTGGGGAACAAGAAACTAGTAGAATGCAACCCTGTTGGAGACTTGCGTTACATCCTCAAAGGGAAGATTTGATTTGACCAACACATACAAGTTGAGCATACTTCAGACAGCTATAGCAAGCTGATTCATCATATGGTTGGTCACTGGAACAGGGTCCCCAGGTAAGTGGTCGCAGCATCACGACTGTCAGAGTTCAAGGAGTGTCTAAATGACGCTTTTAGTCATATGATTTAGTTTTAGGTAGTCCTAAAGGAGGAGGAGCAGGGAGTTGGACTCGATGATCCTTATGGGTTCCTTCCAACTTGAGATATTCTATGATTCTATAGTACTTGTCATAGATAATCCTGACCTAAAACCAACAGCATCACACTGAAAAACAGTACTTGTCAAAGTCTAAGATGACATTCATACAAATCTTTTTCTGACTAGTGAAATTAGGAAAATGAACTGACAACACATGGCCATAAAAGCAGGCCCAATCATCGTTTATTACTGCACAACTTTTATTGATAAATTTTAAGTTACTATCTCATAATGTTCTATGGCAAGAAAATAAGTAGCAGCTAACTATAACTCTGAAGAAGAAATTGCCATATTTATGCCAGCATCCAACAACCTGCCTAACTGAAGTCTTGTTTGCCAGAAATAACAGAAAGGAAAACGTGGTAATACCAACACTAACGCTGTCAGGGCTAGGAAGCCTTGGAAAAAAGCAGCACAGATGTCTTCGAAAGCAATGCTGTCCTGGCTAGCAGATATCCATACCTAACAGAACCTAAAAAGTTATCTCACTTTTCTACTTAAAATAAATGAGTAAAAGACACACTGGAATAGAATTTCTAACACTGAAGTTCCTCACAACCATTTTTCGAATAAGGATTAAAATAGGAGGCCTACCATTAATAAGGTACGGATGATTGCAGCATTTTCTTAGTTCCATCATAGTGTTTAGAAGATTAGGTACATTTGCCTGACCTCCACCCTTGGAAAGAAATGTGAAATTCTTTTCAAGAATAGCACGGTAGTATTTCTTCTGAATATTTGTCAGCTCAACTTCAATGATGGTTTCCTCTTTGGGGGCCAGGTTCTTTTCTACATCCTCCTTGAGACGTCTCAGCATCATCGGCTTCAAAATAGCTTGGAGTTTTTGCACCTAGGAAACGTATGTTTAATAAGTGACTGAATTAAAACTGCAAGGCTTCAAGTATTTATTTTTCAATTTCCTTAATTCTAAAATCCTTGTTTCCCACCTCAGATGCCAAGTAGAGAGCATTTGTGAAACAGTCTTTCCTCAACGACCTAGAAACTGAGTTCTCCTTGTTAACTCAGTGACATATACACTCCTAAAGTCAGTTTTTAGTGTGCAACCCTTCTGTTTAATGATCGTTATTAAACGGACCTCACTTAGAACTATCATTCTAGACAAAGGCAGTACTGCACATCAGTCATGCAGAGCTAACTCTAAGTAAGCACAGCTATATAGGCAAATCTGACTGTAAGATCAAGTTTTGCAGTTCTAACCCCTAAACACAGTGTTTAATGCTATTTTTCCCTTTATATATCTGCTTCTAATTCTTTTCTTATTTCCCTAGTTTTGACATCCACTGAAGTAGAAAATTATTTAGGCCTGGTCTCAAAATTAAAACATTTTATTTCTGTAAATTTTTAACACACTTATAATTTTTAGTGTCTCCAGGTTTTGCAGCATATACTTTAAGGCACATCCTAAATGGAGGAGGGGGGAAGAAATGTCCATTTTCCTCAAAAAAATTAGCCAAGTTTTGTCAAGTTTTTGTGAAGTCCTTTACATAAAAAGCTCAAACACATGCCATATAGGAAAAGACTGGCATTTAGGTTGTTTTAGGTTGTCTCTCACAGTGCAAATGACCTCAGTGTTGAAGAGCTGATAATTCACCCTGAAATTGGTCATCATCTCCTGATGCAGAGCTGCACAGCCAAAACATGAACAAAAGACACTTTCTCCTGAATTCACATCATTCCCTTAGCAATAAAGCAACTTCAGGAGAAAAAAGATAAATTGGGATGGAGAGATGAACAATTAAAAAAATACATGGAATAGGATTGCAAGGAATGGAGGAGAAAACCCAAGTCATTAACACATAATCTCTCCCATCACTTGAAAGATAAATCAAATTCCAAAACATCTAATGGTGTGTCAGCAGAGAAGGCACTTCTTCCAAAACTTGTTGGCCCAAGCAATCCAGGCTCCAATTCTGCTCATGGCTGATGGCATTATTTTAGTAGTATTTCCATGTACGGCTTCAAAAATTTCCAGTTCTGCTCTGCTGACATTTTGAGCTGGCCAGACAAAAGCTATGTTGAGAGTTAGGATATATTAACTCCAGCTCAAACACTGTATTAACAGGACTACATGGCTTCTGGATCCGAGCTGGCTCACTTCCAATCAGGTCAGAGTCCATTCTGACTGGCATGCAACTGCCTGCACAATCTGTGGAAACATATCCTATCATTCCCTCAGGACACGCAGTGACTTTTCCAGGAGGTAGGGGGCTGGGGGGCAGAGCTGTTTTGTAATTTAGACTATTACCTATGAAAGAGTTGCTTTCAAAGAAAACTAACAAATTCAAGCAGTCCAAAGTTAGAAATACCAGAAATTGAATTTTTAGACAAAACCAACATGAAGTTGCACACAAAAATGCATGCAATCGTGAAGTTAGGTTATCACAGGGTGCAAAGGGCCAAATTAAGGTGCCTAAATTAAGATGCCATGCTTCAGTTAACTCCACTCCTAATGTTAAGGTGGTTTGACTGTTACTTATTGACTTTTTAAAAACATTTTCATACATACAAGAAGAAATCTAAGTTTTATATAGGGATCATCAGAAACTTTTACATTTTAGATCTAAAACATGCTGCATTAAGGGTCTTTCATTTTGCATTGGTTTATGCACTTCTTTTATTGGACAGCTTGAGAAGTCTGTTTCTGAGTCATTAAAAAAAATCTCCCACCATTTGGTTACCTCTTGCTAAACTAGGTTTCAAATACGTTCCTGTTTGCACAGAAGTCACTGATAAAACTCCCAGATGTTAACTCCACAGAAGTTACAGAGAACAGTCCCCTCACTCTGATACTGATGCTTAAAGAAGAATGTCAACTGTCAAGTTAATTCTCTTGGCACGAACAAGCAATTCCACAAGTATTTTCATCCAGCAACTGTTATAAGACACCCCGCTCCCATTTTTAAACATCACATTTTAACAAGCGGAAACTTTCTCTGCTTCTGCATGACCAATGGACACACACAAAAAAAAAAGCCACCAGTGATAAGGCAAAATGACTTTTGGTCAAAAGCAAAAAACTTCACAAAATCAAAACAAACAAAAAAAACAGAGATAAAACTACTGTGGTCTTCCAAAAAGTAAATAGGTATTACTTGTAAAAACAAGTAATGAAGTTCAGATATAATAAAACGGATAAATTCACAATATCTAAGTAGAAAAGTGAGCGTGCAGGAGAAGTTTACCTGTTCTTCAGTTTTCAGATCACCAAACTCTTGCATGAATGTGGTTTCCGATGGGAAGCGACCTGGTTCTAAGAAGTGAAGCAAGCTGAATAGCTCTTCTACTGTATTTTGCAAAGGGGTTCCAGTAAGCAGCACTTTGTGTTCCTGAAAGGTTAAGAAATAGTTGCCTAGGAATCCATCTGAACTAATTTTCAACAAGAGAAATACACAAGATTCTCTCTTTGTGCCCCCCCCCGTATCTCTCATCTTTGCTTCCTCTCCCCTCCCCCAGCTACTTACATATAGCTCTTTTCATGACATTCCTAACCAGTATTCTGGCCTTCCTTCAGTGATAGCCCAGAAAAATACTTCATTACTTAAGCACCTTCAAAAGTCCTCCAGATACAAGAAGAGATTTTACTGATCCACAACATCCCAGCCCTTTCACAAATACAATGAACTTTAAATGGCAAAATAACAGCTGAACTTATCCCATCACTTCCAGTATAAATCCATCAATTTACCACACCTCCAGTAGATCTCAGTGCATGAATCTCTTCAGGGCAGGTCTAAGTTTGTAACATAGGAAACCTGAAGCAGACTCCTACTTTCCATTTACACACAACAGAGCATAAGACTGGCAGAGACAAGAGGAAAAGTTGCATACTGCTTTAGAGTAGGAGCCCAGAGCGGTTAAGCAACTAGCCCAAGGTCAAACATGAATTTAGTAGTAGAACAAGAACTGAAGTGAGAAGTCCTACATCTCCACCTATACCTATAGCCACGCCTATAAGATCAGCTTTCCTCTAATAGCAACCAGAACAAGGAAAATAAATTGTATTCAGCATTTCTACAAACTTTCATTCGTTAAGCCTCAAGACTCCTTCAGGAAAAGTCTTGTTTAACAAACAGAGGAAAAGAAACTAAAAGTGACCTTTAGGTCACCAGTGCTTGTGTAAGCTAACGTTTATGCCTCTCTATTCTTATCAGAAATAAGAGGCTTTGAGTTCCAGGTGCTAACTTAGCATGACCGCATTCTTCTCACATTTTTAAAGAATCTTCTGCCACACCACTCCTCCCACCCCCACCCCCAAATTAATTCTTTTGCCTTTTAAATGGTAAATATGATTTTTCTGTGTGCTTAATACATGTATTTTGTGCACACAACATAATACATCTTTATGTAAGCATCAGAAACCAACTCACTTTTCCCTTCCTTAAGCTGAAAGAACATCCTTATGGCCACACATTAACATTAGAGCTAACATCAACGCAGAGCAGTTGAACTCTCATACCTGTATTTAGCCACCTGACCACATTATACCTTTAAATTAATGTCTATGTGAAGAAGTTACTATGGAGTAAGTCACATGAAAAAGAGAGAAAGGACAGAACAGATTTATCTTGATTCTCTTAACAGAATCCACGTAATTCTAAGTCTAAATCAATGAAGAGACTTATAAAACATCAGCGCTCCAAAACTGAAGGTATGCATATGCTTCCAGGTATTTTAAAGACCTTCTCAGCTGCATTGCCTCATTCTTCTTAGCACTTTATGATTTTACTTGACAAGAACACCTTGTATTTTACTTTTTGATGAAAACATAGATCAGGAGTAATAAAAATACAGAAGATGCAAATGTAAGAGATGTACACACTGACCAGGTCCATCATCTTGAGTCCTTCCAAAAGCTTACAGTTCCTGTTTTTCAGCCTGTGGGCCTCATCGATGACCACGCAACGCCATGGAATGTTACGTAGCTCCGGGCAGTCAGTCAAGATCATTTCAAATGTTGTGATAATGGCATGGAACTTGTAGGACCCCTTTATCACACGACCCTAAAAAGAACAGCAAAAGTTGAAGTAAACTCCCTGGCAAAGAAAGGAAGCACATTTTCATTCTTTAAAAATACAGAACAGTACAATGGGCAAGATATTTTAAGTAAATGAAGTCACTATTGCTGCCTCAATGAGGGAGTACAAATGTGCTAAGTTTACTACTGCCTTCATGCTAGCTATGTTTTTAGTCCTGTAAAAAGGCCCACCAAATCACTCCATATTCATTACAAAGATGTTATACAAGTATTTCAGTCATAATTCATATGGATTATACTAATGCCTTGAAGCATTAATGTATTGCTGCCATATTCAGATAAGGTTTTCAGACTTTGTCAAGAGAATTTTCTTTTTTCTTTTAAATCAAAGGTATGTGATGGTCCTCCCAAACAATCCAGATAAGCCAGAAGTACATTAAGGCTTCATTTTTATGACTACTAGCATATTTTGCTCCTAATAAACGTAATTTTTTCCTGGTAGATATGAGTATCCAAAACACCTACAATTCTAGTAAACAGCTTTGAAAAGAAGTAAATCTCTGAACTCTTAAATAGAATACATATATCTGCATACATTTCCTTGGTATTTTTGTAAATTTGTGTTAATGGCAGTTCAACAGGATGATTTACTTGATGTCGGGCACCATATTCACTATTTATTTGGTTAGTTGAGGGTCTTATTTTCAGGGCTGATACTAAGACACTCTTTAAAAAACTCTTTCAAAACAACCCCTGAATAAACTTTACTCAAGATCATGAAATGAACATCTTTCTGACATCATGCTATATTTCTTCCTAATGTTGTTCAAAGAAAAATATAACTTGGTTATCTCCAGTGACACTGGGTCTGTGCAAAAACACACTGTCTCTAAGGATGGGTCTCACACAAGTTCAAAACCATTCTACATTTTCAAAGCAGGACTATATGGTGGGTTGTATATTGAATAAATTTCAAAAGAAATTTATATTTAAAAAAAAAAAAGATATTTTACAGTAAGGTGACCACTTCTTCCTTCAAACATGTGCAAGTCTGAATCCTTTTATAAGTGACCTGCATATAATCCTCTCCAAACTGTGGGGATCGGAACTGGCTACTCACTCAATAAAATGACTGGAAACCTGACATCCTGAACCCAGCATTAAATCTGCCTACGCACATCACGAGTATTTCAGGGGAAGTAATCACCTGCTCAACAGTGCTTTCTCATGGCATAGTCCAGAAACATGTATCTTCTTAGGGAGAAAAAGAGTCGTTACCTAACAAACAGCAGATGAAGATACACTAAGTGGGCAACTTTGAAAGCCAGCAAACTGAAATGCTGTAACCTTTTCATAAGCCAGATATAACTGTGAAAATACGAGAATGCAGCCCAGGAGATTCTTTCCAAGTAGCGGAAAACACTTCCATGAGCAACCTCACGACTGTATGGCAGGCAGTGCTCTTCAAAAATGATGACTACATAAAGCAGCACATCCAGGTGAAGCAAAAATTATCAGGGACCCTTGATAACATATTTAGAGCTGTCTAAATCTCACATTAAAATATACATAGTGATCTTGCCACAAGAGTTCACATTATTTGAAAGACAATCAAATTCTGTACTGAAGAACACAGGGGTAAATCAAGCAGGAAGTTCCAAGAGCTCTCCAAGAGCTTTGGAAGGTGAATGATGGTGTTCTTCAACAGTTTCAGGCCTCCAACACTGGGGGAAGTATGGGAAAGAATCCTAAGTAATCATATTAATGTCACTTTTGAGAAATTTGAATGTAGAAACTATGAGGAAAGTGACCTATAGCACTGTCAAGGTGAACTCTTAGGCAACTAGGAATCAATTTATCCTGTTTCAGTGTGGCATCCAAATGAAGTTCTCTGATGTTGGAACCACAGGAATTTCATATCCATTTACTCAGAGAAGTTCTTCCAGTTGAGGAAATCAATCTTCCTCATAGGTGGCAGTTTCCTGTTTTGTTTGGGAAATTCTTCTGGAAGTAACTCAAATAACAGAGGCAGCCACAAGGTACAACAATTAGATATGAACATAAAAGTTGCGTTATGTTTTGGGGCATTACCTCTTAGCAAATACAAACTGAGAAGATCAACTGGATGTGTATAAGAAGTGGACTTCTAAAAAGATGCACATTATACCAGTGGGAGCCATGAAAGATTGTTATGGTCTTTTCCCACCAACCTCAGGCTCCACTTTGAGGAACAAGAGAACAGATGCAAGAAATGTGCATGTTAACCAATTATAGTCAGAAGGCATCTGGAAAACTAAGTCGCAGCCACTTTGTAAAATGCAATTCAACATCATCTTCAGTGAAAGACAGAGTCCCTATTGGTGAAAAACTGCTGCATACTAACCATTCTTTGCAGAAAACTGAGGTAACCCTATGCTGATGACATGTTCGTAGCTCAGTAGCTTCTCAGCAAGAAAGAAAACCATGCAGGCAAGAAAATACTCTCTTAAGCCAACACCCACTGAGCTCAAAAGGAATGAACCAGGTAAGCCAGAAAAAGTCCTGAACACCAACAGCATTATTTTGAATTAAAATCAACGAAGGACAAGGTATTCCGTTTCTACACAAGCCAGGTGGTTTCTCTTTTTAGTCCTCATCACACCACGAAGTAAGTTTCCTTCACAAACAAGTCAACTCTTTTGCAGGGCTCTGTCATTAATTTCATTTGGCACATAGAGTTTTCCTGATATTACAACAGAACTCTTTCTCAGAGGTAGAATGGTACACAAAAGCAACGTTTGATACTCCAACCAGGGAAAGCCCCGAAAAGGGCCCTTCAGTTACATTGCTCAAGAACACCAGAACAGGCTTTGCTATGTGACCTTCACAAGAATAAGGTAGGAAGGGATTTCAGGGGAACATCTCTGGTAGCACGGTGTCCTTAGCGTCCAAGTCACACCACTGCAAAAACATACTTTGTTATAGACTACTCTCTAGCTTTTCACAACAACTTGACTCTGGTTACTGGTGTTGACTGGGGGTGGGGGGGGGGGAAATCATAGTACTGCACATGGGGTAGGTGCTTCTTGTGCATGCTGTCTCTTATTATTGCCCTTCAAAGCCACCCAGACTTTCTGAATGTTCCAACTGTCATTTTGAGAAACAGCTCAGCTTGAGAGGCCTCTTTTCATGTTAAGACCTAAAAAGCCGAAGATGCCGATGTCTGGGTTGATGTGTTTGGCAAGGGGACCAGAAACGATACTGCCAAAACCTGCCTTCTTTCTCTCCCTTCTCGTCCCCCATCACACGCCCACTGATGGTACTTTAGACGATGCCAGACTGAACACTACGTGGGGATTCTTTCTGTTCAGAACATGCAGATATTTCTTCCTGTAATTCAGTTTCTACCATGCGTTTCACAGCTGACACAGTCTTACAAAGAATGGAACACAGAAGGTGATTTCATGACACATCTAAGCTAGCTGCCACCAAAAGGATGAGTTCACTCCATTTCTCCTTTATCCCCAACCACGGCAATTGTCTGATTCTCCTCTTAAGCCAGTTCAGGGAGCAAAGCTAGCAGAAAATTATTCACTTTTCTGTGCCATGAGTGCTTTGTCATTACTCACTATGGTCATTGCAAGAGGCGAGTTAAGAATATGGCGACAGGGGGAATAAAACTTTCTGCAGCATCTTGCTTTAGATCCTTTTAGTTGCCTTTAGATCAATGAAACGATATTGCCAAAATAACACCAGGAATCTGCACAGTAAGTGGGATTTTTCTGATGATGTTCCTTCAGGTTTCATGCTACATAACTGCTGCATACTAAGGGGAAGAACACGCTGAGAACCAGCACTGCTTAAATAACAAACAAACGTGATTTTCAGCACAGGAAACACTTCAGTAGACACACTACTTGCATAAACCCAAATTTTAAAATTTGTACAAAATATCCATCTCTGATAAGAAATAATTTTAAAACCAGAAAAAGTATAAATCAGTTCCAGTTTATTTGTGTATTATACATCTAAGTAAGAAGCTAAATGTAATTATTATCATAAGCGCTATAAGCCATTAGACCTCAGTGTAGCAACTGTTATTCAAATCAATCTTTAACAGCAGCGTACATGATTTTCATTTGAATTTTGATAATTTGCTGAGAAAATGGTTATTTTCAACTGTAACTTCTAACCACTATAAATTAGCATGTGTTTTTCTACTGTATATTTAAGTACACAACTCTATTTCTGTTTGCCGTAATGGCACATCAAGTTGCGCCACAGTCATCACCTTCAAAACTGTTTTTACTCAGTTTTTTCTCTGTAAAAACATATTTTCTATCTCGCAACCACCCTCATAACTTTGCTCTAAGGACTCCGTTTTTTCAACACTCTTTTTGAGGACGGGAAGTGAGAACTAGGCAGAACTGGACTACCCACCACATCACTGACAGAAAGAAGAGTGCTGTAACTTTTTACTCTTTAATACAGATTTCTTTCCTCCTACACACTTGCACTACAGTAGCCCTTTTAACCACAGTCTCACAGTATGAACTCATGTTTAACTGGTCGTGTGTCACAACACGAAAGGATCTGCATTTGTCTTACAGCCTTCCCAGAACCAAGCTCTCCCCACTGTAAGAATCATCTCCATTCCTTGTCCACAGACAGCCCTGTATTTAGCTATTCTGAGTATTGTTAGCTTGGATCCAATTTATTAAGTAATACAGCTTACTCTGTATCCATGAACTGTCTTAATTATTTACCACTCTCCCCATCTTTGTGCCATTTGAAAACTTCCTCAGTAATGATTTTGTGTTTTCTTTCAGGTCATTGATAAAGTGTTATATAGCTCGTGGACACGAACCAATCCCTGAAGAACTATGCTGGAAATGCAAATCATTTCTCATTTACAATTACAACAAGAAATATCAGTTAGCCAGTTTTAAATCCACTTAATGTGTGCCATATTGATTTTATATCATTCTAGTTTATTAATCAAAATATCCAGTGGCATAAAATCAAATGCATTACAGAAAATCTAAATATATGAATTCACCACTATCACTTCTTTAAGCTCAGCTGGAAACAGTACTCCACAATATATCGAATCAGGTTGAACTTCCACTCTTTTTCTTGTAAGTGAGGATGACTATGTTGTTTTGCAATAACATTCAACATACACACATTATTCTCCCCCAATCCTGTTTGTTTACTTTGGGCAAAACCATGCATTTAGGTGTAGAGATCTGTTGCTCTTTATAGCTTCAGTTTTCCAAATAATTTTCTGTTTCTACCCCCAATCTTTTCTGTACCTGCTTGCTTTCTCTTGTAAGAACTATTATCTGACAGCAGTAACAGACTGAAAATATACCTGACTTAGAAAATTTGATAAAGAAGCATCGACAAGTTTAATTTATGCAAGCTGGTCTTTTCCTGGAATGGCAGGCAAAGACTGATTTTTAAACTTAGTTCCAATTAAAGCAGTTTCTCCATTAAGATTCTTAAGAGTCTTTTTTGCTCTCCTCAGGAACACAAAATAATGAAAGCCCTGCATAAAACAATGAAACCCTGAACAAGAGTTGTACCATCTCAGTAACTCTTGGTCTCCCTCTATTTCCAGCTGATCTCTTGTTAAAAAGCACTCTCTTTATTAATACATATGCCTTTGTTATTAGCTAAAACCTACTATACCAGTACTAAAAACCTAACCAATGCTTAGTTTAATAAACAACAGTAAAGCATATACAAAAAAGAGAAAAAGAAAAATCACGATGAGCTCTTACCTGTGGATCTTTGAAATACATTTCATACAACTGAATGGTCCGCCGGCTTGCTTGACTCCCATGATAAACCACCACGTTCAACTCTGTCCAGGTGCGGAACTCCCTTTCCCAGTTGGGAATTGTGGACAACGGTGCAATAACCAAGAAAGGACCATGGATTCCTTTCAAATATATCTCATAGAGAAACGTAATGGACTGGATAGTCTTTCCCAACCCCATTTCATCTGCTAAAATGCAGTTTCGTCTGAAAACAGTAATAAAAACAGTCTGTATGATTTATTCCTAACTTAAAACACTGAAAATGAGTAAGGAGCTAAACTGAATAAACCAGAAATTTCTAGAATGGCAAGTTTACACTGAAGGGACATCATAATCTTTTTGCATTTTAAATAAACGTTATGATTTGTGATGCAATAAGCATGAATATGTTCATTTTATGTACCTCTCAAGTTCACATAGGGGAGGAAGGGGCAGCAGGGGTGTGCCTGAACACATATACAGGCAAAAATCATTTGCCACAAGAATCTATCTGAAATACTCAGGGTTCATGTAACATTATGTTATCCACCCAAAATTAGTTTGTGTATGAGTCCTGCAGCAAAAAATTAGACGTGTAAATAACTCTAAAACCTCGCTTTATAAGATTACTTTAAAAAGTTATTGTTTCAAACAAGCTATAAAAGCTTTTCCAAAGCAGGATTCAGCAGTAAGCAATATTTTACGTACGTGTTGTACCAATTGAAAAGAAGCCAGTTTACTCCCTCCAACTGGTATTCCCTGAGTTTGTTATTGTTTTTATACTCCCTGGAACTCTCCGATTTCTTCCAGTCATCGGCAGGAGGTCGCTCCTGTTTCAAATACAGCAAATCCCATTAGTGGTTTCTGAAAGACCACATTACTTTACTATTTTAAAATTAAGTCCTCTATATGGAGCCAATTCTTACCACACGCTCTATTTCTGGCTCCCTAGACATCAGTTTCTCAAATTCTTCGATCTTAGCTTGGTCGATGTCTTGCTTGAGCTCCCAAGTGCTGTCTTCATAAGGAAGCGAACACCATTTCACCAGATAATGCATTACAGGCTTTGTTAAGACAAAAATAAGATTACATCACAACTTAGAAAGAATAGAAGTGTAACCATTTTTACAGGAGATCTGCAGGCTAGACACAGTTCAAAAAGCTTTATCAGACCTGGATATCTGAATCAGGCAAAAGGATAAGCGAACAGCAGGCTGACACCTTGACAACCTAACGAAGTAAGATTAGAAGGCGGGGAATGCAGGCTTACCACCAAAACAAGCACAACACTACATCTGTAATCACTAAGGTTAGACTAGAATTTAGAAGTAAAACAATATTCTCTTCCCAACTGTTACAATTTCTATGCTTTACCACATATTTAAACAGTCAACTCTTTTTTCTTATCAGTGTCATCTGAGACTTCCCAGCAGGCAACCCAACCACCACCATTCACTGATAGAGCAATATGGAAACACTGACAGTGAAGCTTTCTATTCTCCCAGGACCAAAAAGGAGTCTCCTGGAAGATAAAGTGATCTTGTTCTGCAGAACAAGTCATTAAAAAGTAAGAAACAGTGAATTCAGGACCTCTTCCACAACAGATAGTCTATAAACAATGTCTAAATTATTATGATATTTAGCCAAGATTCTTGCAATTTTCATTTAAATTCTCTATTACCTGCATGGACATCATATTTCTACAGTATTAAGTACCACCTTAGATCTACATATCAGAGGGTTTTTTGGTTGTTGGGGTTTTTTTTTGTTGTTTTGTATTTTTTAAAATATAGGTAACTTGTAAGAAGTTTGGAAGTCTCACTTAAACCCCTTTATTTCAAGTAAACTGCTATATTAGCCAATGTTTGCTCAAATGCATTCCTATTTTTTACACACATATACCCTGGCAGCTTCTGAAGTGTTTAACGTATTCACATTTCTAAACAGTAAATTCTAAACACAATGTCTATATGACTACAGATGCACTAAAAGTTTTGTTTACCTCTCCATTATCATCTGTGCTACGTGAAAAATCCATGATTCGATCAACTTCCACATAATCTGGATTAAAAAGTTCATCGTCAATCTGTTCAAGGAGAGAGGCAAAAATATAAAAGACATCTCTATTAGCCCTTCCTGAGAGGAAAAATTATTACATATTTCACCAGGCAATAATATTTTGGGTCACGGTGACATAGAATTTATATTTGGCAAACTTCAACATGTTAATTGAAATGCTACAATTCAGCAAGATCATTCCCCGTGAGGGAATCAGACTCCTCAGACTTTGTTAACTGGGCCTCTTAATTACTGTGTGAAACCTTTTACTGTGAGAGAATGTTTAAGAATATTTTAAATGAAGTGTGAAATTACAATTCACTAATGAGCAATCGAAAAGGCTTATGGCATGCAATGCATTTAGCATTCTTGAAAACTACAGCTTGCAATAAAGAAATTAGAGCCTTGTACACTAAGTGCCTTTGGATTATTTTAACTACAGGAATTGTCTAACTGCTTTATAAGCAAGATTCAAAGATTATTATTTCAAAAACAGAAAACACACTGCATGCCTACAGTTTCTCCAAAAAAAATCACAATTTGTTATGTTCTTTATTATCCCTTCAACAACTTACAGGATTCTCTTGCGTACTAAAGCATTATGTTTCATTTCATACTTTTAAGATCCCCTCCAACAGAAAAGGCAGACAAAAGGACTAGAGACTATGTAGATTTTGATAGCTTTTTCTAAAATAAGAACAAATTCCAAGTATTTGCAATAACTTGTGACCCACTTGGAAACATATTAAAAAAAAAATTAAAAAAGAAGCAATTCCAAGCATCTTTGCTTAGAACAGATACAACTTTTCAATTTGCAATAGGTTTTGTCCAGCTTGAACTATATAGTAAAAACATATAGAAATAAATAAATACAGCAGCACACAAACTGTTTTTTTTCCTCAAAAGACAGCATTTTACTGAGAAAGGTAAGCTTTCAGAGACACAGTTCAGCAGATATGGTTTTTCATTGACAGGACCCCTGCCACACTACTGCTTATGGCTCTAAGTGAAATTAAATTGATGATAAAAAGCTTAGAATCCCTAGTGAGCAGCAGTCCATAACACAGAAAAATGTGATGCGTTTTTCTGGCATAATCAGCTCCTGAGAAGAGAGACCTGGTACTGATTCAAGTAAGAGTCATGCTTACAATGCAAACGACTAACCACTCACTCTAAGGAAAAAAAAAAATAGCAAAAAGTTTACATTCAGGATAGATCACTTGAGTTTCATAAACTTGCAAGACTTGGATCAAGAGTGGTTATACTTTATACCAGAATAAATGCTACTGATACACTACATAGTTGTTCAAAATCATCTGCTTGTATACAGAACAAGACTTCTTAAGAATATTCCTTAAATACCTAAAAGAAAGAAAGAAACAAACAAATTGTACCTCTGAAAGGAATTTGTTCTGGCCCTGTTTTGCTTTAAACCGCTTAATCTTCTGCTGAATTCTCTTGTCTTTGTCCAGCTCTTCCACAGATGCCCACTGACAATGAAGGTAAGAACTAGAAGACGAAACAGAAAATCTTACTCAAAACTATGCTTCCATTGCATACTCCTATGTATCCCACTAGTATAACGAGATCTTTCTAGCACATTGCAGTGCCACACTTGGAAAACTGGACACTACCTTCTTCATCATACAGGTTATTAACAAATCATCTTTACTGGAAGTAATTATACTTACTAATGGAGAAACTTGTCAGTAAATAAAAACAGCTCCCACTCAAAATTTAAATACATACCCCATACATGTAGTGCTTGGCACAAAGCTAAGATGATGTTTATTGGGCATACTTAAAACATAATTACTATACAAGACTTTTATCATAAATGTCACAATTTAACATCATAATCTAGCAAACAGTAGGTGTTTTAGAAGTTAATAAAAATACGCAAACATTTTAAATACTAACACGCTATACACTGGTTTTTGTCAGAACAGCATTGTAATTAAAAGTGGCATGAGTCAATTGAAGTTTTAACACTGATAGAAAGAAAATAAAAACCCTTGTAAATGCAGTTCCATGGTAATAATTCATCTTTAAGAAAACACAAAGTAATGCACAGCATCTCTGCCAAAATGACTAGTCTCACTTTGTCAATTTAGATTCTGTCAGAAGTTATATTGCTAAGAAGTCCAAGACATATAGTTAATACAAAAATTACATGCCAATGTAATGAAACTAAACAAAGCATAATTAAGCTATTAAACATCATGCAACAATCAATATAGTGCAAAAGGTACAAAGATGGCAGCATATTTGAAGTGAAGTCAGCTATCTGCAGTTAACCGCAAGAAACTGACTTTAAGCAAATTTCTGTGTCTCAGATGGAAAATTTGCTAAAATTAAACAAGATACACTATTTTTCTAAAAGAAAAATGAGTTTATCCAGCTGTAAAGTATCTTATTTTAGATACTGGTTGCATTGCAGTTTCAGAGCCCAGAAGTGAAACAACATGCTGCTCTCACCACTATTACATCCCTCTTACGGAGGGGCAGCTATCTGCCGGAATACTGGAAGCCATCTTGTTTGTTATCTTAAGACATTCTGTTGAACACAAATCTTGTTTTTGAAACAACAGTAAGGGTTACTTTTGGGTAGTTTGCAGGCATGTTACTCTACGGTTGCAGTTAGATCTACACAGCTACACAGGTATGTGCTCATGAATCTGCATGCATAATGAGCCCTAGATTAAAGTTTTTAATAGCAGAGCAATTTTACCTATGGATTTAATTTTGGAGAGAATGCAAATTAAAACAACACTATCAAACCCAGTACCACCAATGCAAGATATTTCCCTGTTCATTAACCACTGTTTTGGATTAAACATTAGAAATGTTTTAAGCTGGATAGTAACAGTCATATCATTTACAAAACCAGTTTTTAAAAAGTATTTGGAAGTTATGTGGATTTAAAGATAGTAAGCAAACCTATAACTTCACTTACAAGTTTTTGTACTTTACGTAGAATTCCTCTACTTCTACCTCCTCTCCATTCTCCATCTATAAGAAAAGAATTGTTGAAATGTGAATTAAACCACTAAACAGCCCAATTTAGTTAATGATTAAAACCAACCGAAACACAGAATACGGTCCCCACACAGAGAGACAAGTGGAGGTGTAGGAAAGCGTTTGTAGGGGGAGGACATGGGTGAGGAGTTTCCTCCAGCAGCTTACCCAAGTACGTACTGCACTGCTTACTACAACTTCCAAGACATGAATCATTTGAACTCCTCCCTAACCACATGCAGCTTCATTCACAACCTCACCCCAAATCTGGCTTTCTGCCAAACCCACAGTGTTAAGTAGAAGCCAAGTGTACCATTTTCTCAGGCAGCAGCCAATTAGCAACTGCACTCCTGAATGCCATATGTATTATTTTTGGCTGGCTCATGGCAACTTTACATTGTGGGTTTTGTAATGTTTTAAAAAAGAGTTTTAAAGGGGGTTTATTCCTCCATATAGTTAATAACTCCAAACAAGAAGCCATATAAAACTAAACCTTATACCTCTGCTAGAATTTTAGTGCATCAGTGTTCATGGCTTTAGTTTTACTCAATGGTGCAATTAAATTCACTCAGGCAAGATGTCTCACATACAGAGCAGCCAAATTAAATTCACACCCAAAAACTACATTTAAAGCAAGGTTAAAGTTGTGATATAAACCAGCAAAACCAAGGGCATTCAGTGCTAAGGGTTGAGACTACCCTTAACTCATCCCTAGTGCCAAAGTATTGCATAACATATGGCATGTAATACTTTGTTGAATTACTCCTGAACCCAGCCATAGGACAAACTAAGGACAGTGCACCAGAGGCACACGTTTAGAATTCAGTTTATGTCACAACATTAACGGGTTGTGTTTACTAATGAACATTGGAACAATTTTAAATAAAGAGGATTTTCTGTTTTACATACTTCATCAGGGACAAAAACATCTGTAATAAATACTGCATGTAGCACTAGACAGACAAAACTGTTGACCCCTGTGTAAGTCAACATCTTCTATCTTTTATATATAGAGAGAGATTAAAAAAAAGAGAGAGAGAGAGAGAAAATATATAAACGAGAGACTATTCTGAAGCTAGAGGATGAATTGCCATCTTCCAAATTCTCTCTCAAAAGAAAAGTTGCTGGCTAGACATTTCTTCCATAGCAGCACAACTGAAAAACAACAGCAGCAGCTGCATTAAACTCCATTCTATCACAGTAAAGAAAAAGTTAACGCATTCCTAACCCCTGATTTACATAGTATTCCTTCTCTTCCAGGCTAGCAAAGGATTTTATCATTTTAGCATTTATATCACTCCAGTACAGTCTGCTTGTGTTCCTTTCTAGAGAGAGAAGCAACACTAGCTTCTACCTAGTTCTTCCTGAAGAAATGAAAGAAGATAAGGTATTCCTGGTGCTACTTCCTGATCTTCTTGAATCCTCTGTTGAAGAAGATAAACTATCCCTTAACCTTAAACACAGGGAAGAAGCTTCTCTGTCATTTACAAGGATACTGTCAAAGGACAGAATTTGAAGACAATCAAGAATTTTTTTTTTTTAAACAAAAAATTTAAGACAGTATTTCTCAAGAAGGTATTTGTGTTTAGAGGTCAAAATTGTATTTTAAAAAAAGTATTAAAAAAATGGAGATCCCATTATCTGAATCCATTCATTACCCTGAGGCAAAACTGGTCTTGAAGAAGTCATCCCTAATTTTAAGACATTAACAGTTTTTATTTTCTGAAATGTATTATGGCCAAGTCTCTTTGATTAGTTTTACATTAGAATCCTTTGAGATACATCAATCTTACAATGACAACATGGTTAAACACCTTTATATAAAGGTTTCATATTGGCCAACTTAAGTCCCCTTAACAGCATTTCAGTCAAGTATATTTTCTGTCAACTGCCAACTTAATAATCTACAATGTAAATCCTGATAAAACCTGTAACTCTCATGAGTACAACATACTTTTTTATTGCCTAATAGGTAATAACTGGTCTATGTTATTATATGTTCTATGAGTGTGCATTGAAGATTCACCTAAATAAAAAGTATTTCAGAGTAAAAATCTTTTTTAAAATCTTACTCTGGCATTCACACTTATGGCCAAAAAAAAAAAAAAAAAAAAAAAAAATCCAATAAAGTTACAATCACCAGCACTCAAGTAGGGTTTAACAACACATCAGTTTAGAATATATGAGACAGAAGCCTATGTCTTTGACATCACTGTCCAACCCCCACTACATGTACATTTACATTAACCAGGTAAAAAAGGTAAGATAGAGCATTTATGCAAAATTCTCCCAAAACTGATTACACCGACATCCTAAAATAGCACATGGCAGACTTGGGCAATGCAGGACACTTCAAATTATCATTGCCCAGGTGCAACCATAATTGACAATCTGATCCACAGTCTCTGCAGATAATTGAAGAAATAAATGATCCCTTCCTTCAAGCAAATACGTAAGAGCACACAATCTTGCACTGCCGTTGCCACAGAAGCGATAACAGTGATACCTGCTAATGCAAAAGTTATTTGAGCAAGACACTTGGGCGTAGAGACAAGAGCTTAAAAAAAACCAAAACAAAACCAAAAAAACCCACCAGAGAAATATGAACTGCTAGAAAAACAGCAGACAGAACATATCAGTAACAGATGCAAAGCAACACATGAAAAACAATCACCTCAATACACAGCACTAGATTGTAAACTAATCAGTTTGTGGAAGAAATGTTGGCATTTGTACACAGTTCAGTTAGATCTAATTCTCACCGTGCACTGGTAGGAAAAAAGAGAAATTCAGATGTGTAACATGCAGGTACACTGTTCTACAAACTCCACATCTTTCCATAATACGTGCTATTTGTGCTGAAGAGCATATTTAGTTCTAGCCATTACTTTTCAAAGTTAAGGAGCGGAAATTTAAAGGGGACTAAAACTGGCCAAGAAAATAATTAGGAAAATGAAAAACTTCCACATGCAAACTGAAGACGTCAGTACTGTGATGGTTTGGAAAGAGAGTGATGCATGTACTTAACACTTTCTGCAAAAGGAAAGAGTATTCAACAGAATTCAAAATTCCATGTTAAGAACAAGAGAGAAAAACATTGTCTTTTATACTTCAAACATGAACTGAAGTAATTTCTACCTTTTATTCTGCACATTTCAAAAATGGTTGCAAGCACAGTGCTGCATCGTATCTGGTAACTCCAAAACTAGACTAAGGCTATTTTTGAGAAAAGCACCGTAATTTTATGATAAGAATACTGCTCCAAAAGCACATTATCTAATGTCCTTTACTTGAACACAACATCTTTGTTACAACCTAATCCACTGAAAGGTTTCCTAGTGAAGCCCTTCCTCATGTTTATTTTATGCACTGGTCCTGATCGCAGCAATTTTACTTTGATTAGTAATCTAACAACCAGGGTTTTGATGACGTTAGTAGGAGTGTAAAAGACCTTTAATAAAAGCACAGTTGGATACTTCAGATGTTAAATATTAACATCCTGAAATCCATTTTTTGTGGATTTTGGAGAGGAGGGATGGGGAGAAGAGCAAGGAAAGAAGAGACACCCCTCAAACCTGCAAATACAATCCATAAAAAACATTAAAGAAAGAGCTCAAAATAGAGCTTGCCTCCAGCAGAGCTTGCAATCAAAGACATGTAGGCAGCAGACCAACCACTTCCCACAAACTGCAGCAAAATACACACTCCCCATGAGTAATCACACCTTTGTTTGCAGGGGAGAGGAAGAAGAGAAGAATAATTGGTGAAAAACAGCTTCCAATGCAAAGACATTTATGAAAAGACCACATTCTCCTCTCCTGCCTAGTAGACCATCAGGACAACTAATTACTGAGTTTATATTACATGAAGTCTATCTGAAAAATAAGCCTATGGTTTGAAATACAAAATACAGCTCTGGACTTCAAAAAAAAGCCCTAGAGGTTTTGTGCTGTGAAAGCCACAGAAACAGGTCAAATTCAATCACAGCCAGTCATGACATTGCATGAATTTCGGTTTACAAAGCTGTTAATGACGTTATGATGGTAGTAATAAAATTAAAACACAAAAAAACACCCCTCAAAACACCACAACATTGGGGGGGGGTGGGGGGGGGGTGGAATCCATGAATAAAGGCAACTTTCACTCCTCCAATTCGAACGGTAATACTTTAAGAAATATTTCTGGTTAACTAAGGTCAACATGAGTACCATATCTATCTTCATCAGACAGTTTTCTGCCTAACTGCAGTAAAAGTCAGAGAATTAACTACACAAAAGAGTCTATGAAAGAGAATAATGCCCTTTTTGGAACAAGTTCTTTTGTATTTCCTACTCAGAGTTTAATAGTTTGGAAGTGCAAAGGCCAATCAAGGTGTGAAGCAGATTCGAAGAATCTGTAAGCAAAATAAAGAATGTAACAAACGACCATGGTAGAATTAAGAGGGCCACACTTAACTAAAAAGAGTGTTTCTTTCACCATCTTAGCATAGTGACAAGGAAGATATTAACCACCTGCATATGTAACATTCCTGATCGCATGTGAAGTTGTTTTAGCTGCTAAGCACAACCACTATCAAAAGATGCAAAAATTATGGGCAAGGATTTTTCTTTACTAGGACGGGCAGAAACTTAGGATGCAGGAGAGTTCTCTCACTCCGCAAACTCCCATGAAACATCACTCTGAAGCAAAGAACACCACACACATCACCCAGGTATGTATATTTGCAGAAATCAAAATTCTCATCTGAAGAAATGCAAGAAAAGAGTGGAAGACCGAACAAGTAAACTGTTTTGTGTATGTCTATCCAAAAGCATGTTAAATACCATCTAAAGACACTTTCAGGGAACCTCCTCTATTCAGTATAACAGTTTTTCAATTTGGAATATGCAAGGTATTTTAAGAACTTAATAGAGACTTCAGCAGAACTATGCACAGCCTGTTTAAAAATATGGGGGGAAGGGGTTTTGTTTTGTTTTACCTTTTTCTTGACTGAACGGCTACTCATGATTTTCTCCACAACAGGACCTTCAGCATCAGCAGATTCCTACATCATAATACAAGAGTTATGGGAGTGCATCTTTGTTACTTAAAAGACTTCATTAGAAAAACCTGAAATAATTTTTGCAACAGGAGTTCAATACACAGGAAGACTTTTTCCCCCAGCAGCATGAGAACTGAGAGGATTCAAACGGATTTAATACCTTAATAAAGGATTGAAGGATACTTGTTTAAGCCCGTTTTTAAGAGCTAATGCAACTCTAGTTGCCTCACTAAGGCTGACATGCACAGATACAACCCCATGGACACTTCACCTCTCCTAAAATAACACACGCTTTCAGCACCATACAGCCTAAATATTAGAAGATGTTCAAAAATTCTAGCTGGCCGTGTATAGCTATCGTCTGCAATTCTCTACCAGACTATTACACTAATTCACTATTATAACTGCAGGCAAACCTACCAAATTCTCTTTCTGATAAGACACAATTAACAATGGAGATCCCATACAATATTTCACAGGGCTTAACAAATTGCCAAATCAAATACCAAAGAACATGTATATAAGCTCCAATTGGTCATCAGTTAGTTAAGTGAAGTAGTTCTTTGAAAAAGCACTACAAAACAATGAGATTGTTACAACAGTCATTCCTATATTATTACCCCTCATCTTATTCAAACTATTTTATCCATCATTTACATTGCACAGAGAATAAAGTGTACCCTGCTGGGTACTACAAGGCAGTAATTTCATAAAGGGGTTCTTATGGTGCCTAGCAGCAGGGGACAAGCTTGAGTGGTTTATTAAAGTCACAGAAGCCAGACCACTGAATTCACAGAAGTAAATTCAAGACTCCCAGCAGTCCAGTTTAGGTTTCCTTTAGGTAGAGACCATTAATTTCAAAGAACTGTGTCAAACTGCGTATCATCAGCTTGTAAACAAAGTCATGAATTAATATATTCTTTAAGAAGGTAAAAAGCTAATGCCTTCTGGCACACTGTGCCAAGCATGGATGAATACCATTCAGGAAAAGGGCCCAGATCTGAACTGTGAATGCTGCACTTACAGCCATCTTTCCAGTCCGTTCATATCTGACCTGTTGCTCTGACTGAGAAGTATTTGAAGGAGAGTCTCTTCCAGCAGCATCAGCATCATCAGCCTCCTCATCTGAAATCTTGAACTCCAGGTCTTCTGTATAACGCTTCCTCTTCACCTGCCTGCTGGAGCGTCGCTTCTGAATAGAAAGCATTGATATTTTTCATGAGAAACAAAACTGCTAAGATTGCAGAGTAACTGAGAAAACTTCTTCATATTTCTCAAATACACTAGTGTGTGGGAAACACTATTATTTTTACAGCACCCTGATAGAAGCAGTGGAATCAAGATCCTACTATTCTAAATTCCTGCCTGTTAGCTGCTTTTAACTTCTGTTAAAAAAAAAAAACAAACCCACAAATACAAAACCCCACTTCATGCTTGTTCTGAGTTGGAAAGTGGTGGTTTGGGTTTTGTTTTTTTTTTTTTAGCACTACTAAAACCACACTGGGAAATTAAAAAGCATATCTCAGAAAGCAATTAAAACAGAAGAAGTTGCACCTCAATTCATGTCTACGACAAACTTTGACAGATGGCCGATGCAGGAACCAACCACCACCTTTCTGCCGCATGGCCCATAGCGTTGCTAGGCAGTGACAACACACTTTCTTGCTCTCCCCATCCGCCCTGTTGTACCCAGATTATCTCGTAGGGGAAATACAATGAAATACGATTTCCTCACTCCACTGACCCAGCGCTGTTCAGAAAGACATCCTGCAGTACAACATGGGAAAAGACCCCAAACTAAAAGAGGAAAATGAAAAACTTGAACCACCCCAAATTGAAAACATGGTTTCTGTGTCTCCATACCCCCATCTCCAGGATAAGAGAAAGCTTCAGAAAAACTGCAGAAAACAATCTGCAAAATACAGAAGCATGCATTTGACAGAATTTGCAACCTGACACTCAGTGCCAGACACTGTTTTCTGCAACAGTAAAATTCAAATTCCCAGATAGTCTGCATCAGGTTATATATTTTGAAAAGCTGAGAGCATATGCTGTCAAAGGAAACTGTCAACTGAGCATCAAATATCTCAATGGACTGATGTATACATATTAAAAAAAAAAATGTTGAATATCAACTGTTAAAACAATCTTTATGAATTTATATACCCTGGTAAAAAAATCTTTCTGAATTGATATACTACTTATTTTTACATCTTTCTCAGCTTAACACACATCTTCACCGGTACATGCAAATACTTACATAGCTTGTTTAACAGATCTATGCACCCAGGTCTCTCAATGTACACAGACAAAGTCAAATATTTACTTTTAGATAGTTAATCATACTTTTTAAAGCACAAATATCTGATGTACTTCACACAATCAGAAATTCTTTCTTTAACTGAAAATGAAATTTTTGAGAAAAGGTTAAATTTACATCACCCTTTTAAACAACGGTGAAGTGGCTTCTACCTTTAACATAGTAACTGACGGGGCGTTCCCATAAAAGTTTAACAATATTTTTATATTTGAAAATAGATACTCACTTGGCAAATTGCCACCCTCATTTCCATAATCACTGATGGGAAAATATCAATTTTCTTTTGGCTCAACAGGTAAGTCTTACCATTATTTTTGATGCCAAAAATCTCTTCTTCTATTTCCCTAATTGAAAGGATGCCTAAAACGTTATGGTAATCCCCTATTTGATTTTTATTGACTTGGTTAGCTTCCTGTTTCTTCTAACATCCACACGAGGCTTTTCAATAGCGATGAACTGTTGTCAGAAACTCTGCATATGTTTACCTGCATCAGATTATCTTTTACTCATTAACTGATCTATAGGTAGAAAGGTGAGTAACAGGCTTGATAATGGAATGTAAAAAACGTATATGGTAACACACAAAAGTATTTTTCCTCTCTAACGATAACAGTGCATCACTTTGTGTGTTACTACATACTATCGTTACAGAAGACTCAGTATTTAACACTAAGAATGCAACGTTAGACAACTGCGTAATACCAGTCTCAGTTGGGAAACGTGTAACAAGTTTATGAATTCTAGCTGTCCTAGCATATACGGTTGTAACCCTTCCCTAAGTTTACGCAAAGAAGCGTGGGTGCAGTATAACATGCACAGTGCAAGAAAGTATTAAGAAAACAAAAATTACCTGAAATACTATTACATTTAATTAAAAAGTGACACAAATACCCTAAAGCTTGTTATTTACAAAAAGAAAAAATATTTCCAATGTGAAGTTTATCACCCAGTTGAGTTTCACAAAAAGAAAGCTTTGTCCCACTAAACTGAAAACAAGCAAAACATCCATATATATTGAACTGTAGACAGTATATAATCATCTGCCAGTTAACCGAAAAAAAAAAAAATCAGCTCCAAAAGCTCCTTCTACATCTTTCGTCAGCGCCATTAATCAGGCTCAGAGTTTGTGGCACAGGACAGTAAACTTATTCTTCAAACATTTTAACATTTGCATGGCGTATCTCAACTTTTCTAATTCAGAATACATGGTTTGCACTAATCAGAAATAACACTCTGCTGCTGCTTTGGTTTTAACTAGAATATACTAGGTTGCTCAGATTTCATTATACTCTACATCCTTCTGGAAAACAGTAAGAGCGAAGGCATAAACCATGTTTGTGTCAGGACACCACTGTCTGCCAACCTCTTCACCAGGCTGCTTTGACCATTCTCAAGCGATCACCAGTCTCAACATCTCTCGTAACCAGAAGCAACACATCCACAACCTGATGTGCAACAGACAAATGCAATGGATTTCAGCAATACTGGCATGACTGTTTAGGAGAGTCCTGGTTTTGGCTGGGATAGAGTTAATTTTCTTCCTAGTAGCTGGCATAGTGCTGCAGTTTGGATTTAGGATGAGAATAATGCTGATCACACACTGATGTTTTAGTTGTTGCTAAGTAGTGCTTGCACCAGTCAAGGACTTTTCAGCTTCCCATGCTCTGCCAGGTGCACAAGAAACTGGGAGGGGGCACAGCCAGGATCGTTGATCTGAACTGCCCAAAGGGCTATTCCATACCATATGACGTCAGGCTCTGTATAGAAACTGGGGGGAGTTGGCCGGGGGGCAGCAACTGCTGCTCAGGAACTGGCTGGGCATCGGTCAGCGGGTGGTGAGCAACTGCACTGTGCATCACTTGCTTTGTATATTCTTTTATTGTTATTATTATTATTATTATTTTCTCTTTCTCTGCTATCCTATTAAACCACCTTTATCTCAACCCATGGGTTTTACTTTTTTTTCCCCTGATTCACTCCCCCATCCCACTGGGGGGCGGGGGGAGGGTAGGTGAGCAAGCGGCTGTGTGGTGCTTAGTTGCCGACTGGGGTTAAACCACGACAAGGCGTCTCATACCTTCCCCATCACAATTTGCCTCTTATGCCCACTCTGACCACTGCCAGCAGAAGCAAGCCAGGAGCTGACCACTTCTTAACACGGCTAATGACAGAGCACACAGAAGTTGTCATATATGCTTTTTCCATTTCCAGATTTTCTTTACAGGAAATAAAGTTTGGACAGAAAGTGATAGGTGCGCAGCGGTCGAGGGAAATTATCAATGTTAGCCGATGACTGGCAGTCCTACAAAAAGGCCCCTCATCCATTAAAGCAGTGTAGTTACAAGTCCCTGACGTGCACATTTCTGACATCCTGCTTTGTCATGTCTTATTCTTGATTTCAGAAGATTTGCAAAGCCAATGTAAGAAGAAACATGAGGCTTATAAACAAGACCTCATAATGGTATGTTAAGTCTACAAAGCAGAAAATTCAGCACCATAATTGCAACAGTGATGGAAGAAAACACGTGAAAACTCAGCAGCACTGAACACGTAGCTGCAGGTAACAAGACTGTAAAGCAAAATTATGATGAGAAATACTTGTTTCAGTAAAATATTCACTATGGCGATTTCCGGTTCTCACCTTCTTGGTTTATCATTCTAAACAACACAGAAAATACCCAAATACCCCCATCTCAGTAACAAAGACCGTGCGAATTACTGTTTCGTGCATCTCAATTGTCAAAGGCTACATTTAACTGGAAAGATAGCATTACCTGAACACCTGGGTCATCTTCATCTTCAGGATGAGGTGATGGTGGCGGAGTTTTTTCCAAATCTGAGTTTTCAGAACCTTCCTTTCCCTTGTTAACCTTTTTCTTTGCAGCACTACTTTCTGAATCTGTTTTCTTGTTACTGAAACAGAGGTATTTTTAATCAGTATTTGTACAAAAATGTAAGGAAAAACTGCTTGAAATAGTTTATCTGCAAGACGTTTATTTTCAGTGACTTCATTATTTTCAACTGCCTTCCTTATTTAAGTATTTAAACATAACTGTAAGATCAGTGATGCATGGGCCATCGCTATACATTTCCCATTCTTTAACAATGGACACCTTTCTTCTTTCCTTCAAGATCTTAGACAGCAACACGGAATATGTCTTCAACAAGAAACTAAAAATGAGACTGGGAAGGAAGAGCTGCTCTCTTCAAAACCTGCACTTTCTGAGAGCAGTGTTTGGGCAACCTGACACGTGTGAAGAGAAACAGCATTACACGTGCACTTGTCTTGATATTAACTGTGTGGACCAGGTGAGCAGAACCAGACAAAGTGTTACCAAAACAAAGGACCGAATGACAAAATTCTTTGTTTTCTTCTACCATCCCTGCTATTTCCAAGCAGAAAAGCAGCTTTCGTGTCAGCTCCAAGGGCACCTGTGCAGCCTCAGTGCACGCAACCGCAGCTTGCATGGGTGGAAAAAACCCACCCACCTGGTATCTCAGCATCTACATGATGCTAGAAAGCTATATCCACTGATGGTAGAGAAAGGTTTTGGGGACTGTTTCTCCCCCTCCTCCCCCTGAAAACGTTTGCCACCTGAGAGGTGGGGCCCCACCTCTCCAGCCGCACTTAGAGGCCTGGAAACAGGTAAAGACGCACATATCAAAATTCAGCTTTAAATAACATCGTCACCAAATCCTGCACCGAGACGACCTTCGGCATTGTAGGGGTGAAATTTTTAAATGGCAGCAAAGAAGAATCAATGGTAAAAGTTAGTAATTTCAAGCACACTTCGCCTTTGAGTCTCGCATGGGTTTTCGCTAGTCTTTTTTCCCCCCTCTGTGGTCAACCCCTCCGCGGTCAACCCCTCCGGCCCCGTTACTGATTTGACAGGCCGGTGGTGGAAGCTGCCGAGACATTTAAGAGCAGAGCAGAGTTACACGCTGGTACGCGACAAGCGGCGAGCACAGGTTGCCAAACGGTACGCCAGGCGCCGTTACACGGCCTCCGCACCCTCAAAAAGTTTAATTTCGTACCCGGGACGCTGCCTGGGGTTCGTTTTGCCTTCGTAATCCCCAGCCTGGTTAACTTTTCAAACAAACATCAGCTTTGAGCTTGTTCACGTTGATCAGCACGTTGGCCCACGCGAAGGCGTTATTTCGGAGCCGTAATTCCCAAACAGGGTTAACACGCCGCTTCGGGGACTTGGGCCAACTCCGCTGCTTCACGGCCCCGCGTTCAAACTGGCGTCGACTTATTTAAAAGTAAAACGTAGGAGCGGGGAGAGCGGGAGTTTTGGGAACGAATTTGCACTGCGGTGAAACTGCAGGGCGCGACACAGCTTTCGTCTCAGGGGGAAAAAAAAAAAAGAAAACAAACAAACAAAAACCACCTCAAACTGTGAATTAAAAAAAAAAAAAAAAAGAAAATAAACAAAACACCTCAATCTGTGAATTAAAAAGAAAAGAAGAAAACCCTCAAACTGTGAATTAAAAAAAATAAAATAAAAAAACCCTCAAACTGTGAATTAAAAAGAAAATAAAAAACCCCTCAAACTGTGAATTAAAATAAAATAAAATAAAAAACCCTCAAACTGTGAATT